GGGGGGGGGGAGGAAATGGAGAAGTATTAAGTAGGAAAGTAGATCCAGAGAGGGCAGTACTTGTATAGCTAAATGGCACACAAACGTAGAAGGACGCAGGAAAAAAAATGTCATTTCAATCATTTAAATTTTTATTTTGAATAGCTTTCAATCCAAAAAAGATTTCATAAGGTTATTTACAGTGCTGAATGTACAATTATGAATGTATGCCTTTTTGACATCAGGGTACCATTCTTGAGCAGCAATACAATTTAAAAAATATAAAGATGCAGTATCATTTCTGATATAAAGTTACTTAAAAAAATCCAAAGTCTTAGGGAATTCACAAATCATAACAGGAAGTAACTATCTTATTAATTTAATGTGCACATAATTACCAAATTTTATTACATTAAAAATATGTGTAAATGCCCACAGACTGTACAAAAATTAACACCCCACATTTTGTCAAAAGTTCCCAACCACCTCCCACCATAAATATACAAAAACCTATTTTCAGATATGTCAAAATTGCATGCGTGAGATCTTATAGAATGTTTTCTAAAGCTTGAATTTTGCTCTTCTCTGGATAGTGGATCTATAGCCAGCTGGGGAACAGAATACATAGACAATGATGTGTTATTTGCCATGCCTCTGAAACTGTGCAGTATCTTCACAAACACGGGAGACAAAATAAATAAGAGTCAAGACTGCAACAGTTCTGTTTAAATCCAAGTGCAATTTGGAAAGCTCTCAAATGTAAGAATTATAAAACTAATATAAAAAGTATTTCTTTTGTTGTTGGCTTAGCCACTTTTCTTCAAGCATTATTTGCAGCATTGCTTTACAGCAGTTGGTGCTAGAAGATACAAAACATATAGTTACCACTATTTATATTTGAGGGAGGAAAAAAAAAAAACAAAAAACTTTAAACAACCCTGAGGGAGACACACATTAAAAATCTTGTTATTTATTTAAAAAGTTAAAAAGTTACATATCATTATTTAACAATTACTTTCCTGGACATTTCTGTCCTTTAAGTATGTGCATAAATAAAATTTAAATCGGCAATATTTATTAATCTTTAATACATCAAAATAATATATGTACAGATTTTTAAATTTAGGTCTGTATACACTCAAATAATTTAATGTGAAATTCAGAATCAAAATTACTATGTCATGGTGATCTACACAGAGAGAACTCAGTCTATCGATGGCACTGAGTAGGACCCACACCTGGATTCACAGACATTCTTCAAATAACATTCTGGAAACCATCAATTACAACTTGAGCAACCCACCTTGTCTATGTTGAAATGTAACTTCCTACAAATGCTTTTCCACCTACCTAAAAACCTCATTCCTTTGAAAACAATATGGACAAATGAGATATAAAACCCTTATAAAATCTAAATGTTAAAAAAAAAGGGTGTAAAAAATATAGCTTTTTATGATCATGCTCTTAAAGATGTTAAATACAATCCGATAACTGGATTTTTAAGCTGCTACTTAGCAATTACTTTAATTATATGCTTCAGTATTTAAATCAAATAATAAAATTTACAATTCTGGGAAATCACTTAAGAATAACACTTTTACATATCAGAAATGAATGTGGAAATTAAAAAATGATCGAGATAAGTAACTATAGAAAACAGTGCTAAATCACAGCTCAAGAGGTCTAAGATGCATAGCTTCATAGAATCATTCATGGAACAACTGTTCTTACCTAAGGTGTATTAATATCATATCATACTTTTTGATGGAAAACTTCGATTGTATTTTTATAAGAATCATTCATCAGTGGCAATAAGCAATAACAGTGATCCTGAGTGTAACTTACATTTTCCTATAGTTACCAAACATCATTCAGGTCTCTGCAGCATAAGAAATGAGAACCGTGTGGTTCTATAGTTCCAGCTAACATCTGATAAATTGGGACGTATCTATCAGGAAAATAATGATTAGCTAGAAGTGGAAAGCACAAGCATGCTACCAGTTAAGGAAGAACATAGGATAATGTCCCACAGTTTTAGCAGTTTAGTGTCCATTTTATAGCAATATCAGTTTCCTTGTTTATCGTAACTGTGGGCTTTTGCCAAGCTGCTGGATCTTACCTAGAAAGGCATTTTTAAAGTTACTTTAATTTTGTTTAAAATTTAAACATTAACCAGATAAAACAGGCGAAAAATCTTTTTCACATTTCTTTTGGCTCAATTAATGTCTAGTCTTAACTTTATTTCAATTTCCCCCCCCAGAAATTTTTACAACCAAAAAATGCTCCTTTGTAAACATCCAATCCAAAATAAGCTCTGACCTCTGGCGCCATCTAATGGCATAAAACAAATTCACCAAGTTCATCCTGCTTTGAAAAAGTAGCAGTCATTCAAAACCACTCATTTTTAAGCCTCATTATTGATAGGAGACTTATATCAACCCTTAAAATTTTTAGGAGGTAAAAGTCTAACTCAAAAAACTCAAAAAAAAAAAAAACCAACTCACTATTATCTTGTCTTTAAGTAATTAAAAACCTAGAAGAAAAGAAAAATCTTTAAAATGATAAAACCTGAGAGAAAAAACAGCTATGAAGAGATATTAGAAAGACAGATCTATCTCTATTGCCAAAGGAAATAATCTTTTTTTCCTAGTGAAAATCGTTCTATGGTTCTACAACATTTAACTGAAGTAAATCGTACTATTGACAGCAGACAGATCACAAGATCCATTCAATAACTTTGAGGGACATCTGAAGAAGGCAGTGAAGCACCTTGCTGATTAGAAAAATAAAACTCAGGCAGTTTGTACAGAAATTATAAAACCATAAATGGAAATTACCTGAGTTGTTCTATAAGCAACATCATAAAACTCACCCCTAGGCTATCAAAGGGAACTGGTCTGTGTATATACGGAATTCTTTGGAAGAAATATTGGAATCAAATGAAAACAGGCTTTCTACCTATTTTCACTAGAGGCTAATTAACACCCATTTTATTTATCAATCACAAATTTAGGGGTGGTAAATAAATGAGGGCTTTTTCTGGTAAGGGTTTGTGAAAATATATTTAAACGCATTAACCAAGTCTCAGAAGCTGATGTCTAAAAACCTATCAAATATCAACTTTCTTCTGTACCCTATTTAAAGAGCATCACTGAGGGTAACAAGAAAATTCTGGAAATATATGTAATATATGTAATATGTAGTTCCTGAATACAGACATAAGACTTTACAGACTGATTATGAATTTAACTGGCAGGCCAACTGTCTTATTTAAAAACAAAAAACAAAACAAAACAAAAACAAAAAACAAAAAACAAAAACAAAAACAAAAAAACAAAAAAAAAACCTCTCAAATCAGCTATACTAGAAGAGACATAAATGACATAAATTGAAATGGTGCCATTCTGACGCACAGGATCGGAAAGTCCGGAAATTACATTCTGCTACCAGCATACCACTGAGAGTGACGCAGTGCTACGTTATGGTGATGATTTGACATGATCCATTCTCCTTAACTAAAGCTTTAGCCTCTGTTGTTGTTTGAGGTTTGGGTGGCCATTCTGGATCAACCAAAAGCTCCTGAGCCAGATACATGTACTTTGCCTTTGGTATCTTCTTTCTACAGCCCAGGGCCCAGGACAAGCAGCATTTTCCCCACCGATCCACTGACGCCTAAGAAAATAAGGAGGGGGAAAAACACACTAGTAGATTAAGGGCTGCTTGTTTTTAACACGTTTTTTAAAGCACAGTACATCAACACAGAAAAGTAAGAGGAAATGACTTCTGCATATGACAAATGAAAAAAACTCAAGTAAAAAAGGTCAGCTTTCAATTATTTAGGAACATATTTTTTAAGATTTTTTAAAATTATCAATGCAATTTCATTTTATTTAGTTTTATGTACCTATCCTCTTGTGTGCAGATACATTTTTTAAAAAATTTGCAGATCTGGGTTTTATAATTCTATAACACATAAAACATCAAGTGTACGAAGAATAACTTTAAACTATTCAGAAAGAAAACATTTTTCATATTTAATATAGAGACCCTCATATTCTATCTCAAATTATCTCTTAATACCATTCCTCCTGGCAACTTAGCCGCTGATCATTTTTTGGAAGAAAGCATTGTTAAATATTATTGTTACTGTTAGTGAATGTCACCTTTCAAAAAATGAAGCACGATGAAAATATTGTTAGGTCAAAATTAGAATTTATATCATGTTTATTGTCAATCACTTCTTTTAACACACTTTCATTAACATAAAAAAATTTTCATTTTATAATTATAGTGTCCCCTGGTGTTCCACTATGGGAAAGAAGTACACAGAAAATTACTTCTGAAAAGGTAAATTGAGTACTATTTCTTAGAATTATTTCGTAATAAAAAGCTCTGCTGGCACTGAAATCCTTCTGGATCAATCCTGATGTTTTTAATGAATGTGATCTTAGATAAACAGTCTGAAGAACAAGAAAGCAGTCCCTAGTAATTGTACAAAAATGTAAATTCAATATAGGCCCTCAGAACTGGTCTTAACTGAAATTTGAGATAAATAACTAAACCTGAAATCAGGTAACTAAAATGACTATTCAGAGACCTGTGGTCATATTCACCTCTGAAGATCAACAGTCAATTTCTAATTATTTTGGCTGTTGCTTCTCCAAAGCAAAATCTAAATCCCAGGTTGTTTTGTTTTGCCATCAAACTACGAGTAGGTTTAATCTCAACGGAGGAAATCTCACAAAATGCAAGTGTAACATAACCGAGGTAGACAACATTCTAATTTTAACACCCAAATGGCTTCATCATTGAGAGAGGCAAATTTGCTATAACACAGGTTTTGAAACATATGTTTCTAAATTCGCCAGTGGAGAGCAGCAAAAAGACTTTAAAATAAAAACTTTAATGGGGCGCCTGGGTGGCTCGGTCAGTTAAACGTCCGACTTCGGCTCAGGTCATGATCTCACAGTTCGTGGGTTCGAGCCCCAGGTCGGGCTCTGTTCTGACAGCTCAGAGCCTGGAGCCTGTTTCAGATTCTGCGTCTCCTCTCTCTCTCTGCCCCTCCCCTGTTCATGCTCTGTCTCTGTCTCAAAAATAAAAAATAAACAGTAAAAAAAATTTTTTTAAAAACTTAAAAAAGAATTTTAAAGGTCTTCTAGTTTATTTTGTCAACAAACATGGTAAGCTGCACTGGTACCAGGAATTCACAGGCACAAACTGTGGTCACAAGTAAGGTGCAGGGGGTTGGGGGGCAGGTAGATGCTGGAGATCATTTATCTAGTAGCGTCTTTACTGTCATAGCTAAAAAGAGTTTATCATCATCATCTTAAAACAAGTCTACAGGGGCGCCTGGGTGGCGCAGTCGGTTAAGCGTCCGACTTCAGCCAGGTCACGATCTCGCGGTCCGGTCCGTGAGTTCGAGCCCCGCGTCAGGCTCTGGGCTGATGGCTCAGAGCCTGGAGCCTGTTTCCGATTCTGTGTCTCCCTCTCTCTCTGACCCTCCCCCGTTCATGCTGTCTCTCTCTGTCCCAAAAATAAATAAACGTTGGAAAAAAAAAAAAATTTAAAACAAGTCTACAAGAAAATATTTGGCATTAGGATACAGAAGAGACTAGATATAGGATTCTCAAGGTGATCCAAATAACAAATACGGATGACCCTTGAACGACATGGGTTTGAACTGTGTAGGTCCGATTATGCACATTTTGATAAATACAGTACTTCCTTATGATTTCTGTAGTCACAAGTTTTATCTAACTTACTTTATTGTAAAAATACAGTATATGATACATACAACACACAAAATATGTGTTAACTTTATTTTATCAGTAAGGCCAACAGTAGGCTATCTATCAGTAGTTAAGTTTTTGAGAAGTCAAAAGTTATACACAGATTCTGGACCGCGCAGTGAGGGGGGTGGTTAGCACCTCTCACACGTGTGTTGTTAAAGGGTCAACTGTAATTCCTTTCCACATACACATGTCATGCAAGCACATATACAATAACCCTTGACATTTAACCTGAGGTGAGGCTCACTACTTGGATCTATCTTTTCCCAAAGGTGTTTAATTCTTCAATGTAATTGTAGGAAAGATCATTGTTCCTAAATCAATCCAAAAGCTGTCACTTTTTATTTTACAGCCTACAGCACTGTTAAAGGACCACAAGAAAAGACTAAAAAAAAAAAAAGGCAAGAAAAGATAGGCCTTGTCTGTCCAGATGAGCCATCCAGGTTAAAGGGCAATGTGGCAAGCATAGCACGCTGAGTTAAGGAAAATCATAGCCCAGGGTCTCCAAATTTAAGAGACACACACATACACTACACACAAATAGACACATATATACCTATATCCACTGTTTCCTACCTGTAGAAAGTGTGGCAAGCAATAAAATTAAAACAAATTTCATTGCAAACAGAATCACAATTAAATAGAACTCCTTCCACATTAAGGTGAATATTTTTTTAAAAAAATCCTATTTCCTTATTAAAAACAAGTACACTTGTTATAATTTAGAAAAAATAAATTAAGTCACAAGAAACACTAGGGGATCCCCCTTCTGCTTAAATTGGAAACATTTTGTTCCTGTACCCTCCCCTCCCCCAAATATCATACACATGAAGTACATGATAGGCAAGCACAGGTTTGTTAGTTGAAACAAACATACCACATGCATCCTCAAATACAACAGAATTCACTGGTAGAGAAAATAACAGGTGCTACAGGCATGCTAGAATGAGAAATGAACCAAGGGAGAGATGATGGTAGCAAGAAGAGAAAGAAGCTCTGTGCACCAAGAAGGCAGATGTGGAGCAGCACAGGGCTCAGAATGAGCACTCGGGTCTCCCCAAACACCTAGGCATAAGTCCCTGAAGCAGGAGAACACAGTAGCCGTAGCAACTGGAAGGAGTGGTTAAACAACCAAGTGTATCCCTCAAAGATGGGAAAGAAGCTGCCACAGTCCAACAGAGAAACCACAAGGAACTTGCAAAAAGATCTACAGCTAAAATTCTCCTGCTTCTTAGACCATTCCAAGCTGTTGGTTCTAGAACCCCAATGCCAGTTTACTTTCAGCAGTGTCTTTTACAAAATGTTTTCATGAGTAGCATGTAAAGGAATAAAGCCATGCTTGTGGGAAAAATGCTGTAATGATACTGTGGTTTTCATAATAGTCTCCTTCCATACCAATCCCGAATATAAAAATAAAGACAACCAGAATTAGCATTCTATCTAAGTAAGCTCAATGTTTCAGTGGCATAAGGACTACAACTAATACTTGCTTTCCCCCGCAAAAGGAAAACAATCAGGCACAAATCCTCAGGCGGGATCAAACTACATGATGATGTAATCCTAGTTCCACATCTACCACTAAGTGGCCTCAGTTTACCAGACATGGGATATGCACCAATGCTTCTTAGCAAGAGAATGTGCTGCACAGATCTTCCCAAACAGGGTAAAGCTCTATAGAAAACTCTTCTTAAAATCAGAAACCCTGGTTTCAACGCCCAACTCTGTCACTCAGTAGATGGCATAACCATGGCAAGTTGACTGAATGTTGCTTCTTTACGTATAGAGTGAAGTGAGAAATACCTTAAGATTTTGGGAGGATCCTGGAGGTGTTGCACAGTACCTTACAGATTATCAGGTATTTTAGAAAAGGTTATCAGAGACTTCCAGATGAGGCTCTTGACTTCCCAATCCAACTGTCTAAGACCCGGAGCCTAGTCCAGGGCCTCTTGTTTTGAAACTTTCAACCTATATGGGTCTATATGGTTAGGAAGACAAAAAAGAAATACGGCTTTTCATCCCCCCAGAAATAATATAGACAGTTGGGACTTGCAGTCTGAGAAGATCTCCTGTGATTCTTGGTAGAAAAGAGCACAGAGCAGGCAGACACGAACAACAGTTTGTGGCACAGGAGAATTACGGCAGCCACAGAAGTCCCTGATGCAGCAGGCCACTCTCACCTCTAGTCTCTTTTCACCTTCAACCTTGACACCAGTGACATCTTGGACTAAAAATTCTCTGTTGGGAGGGGTTTGTCCTGCGTACTACCATAGGATGTTCATTTAGCAGCATCCTTGGCCTCTACCCACTACATGCCAGTAGCAACCCCTCTTCCCCTCCAATTGTGATAACCAAAAATGTCTCCAGACACCATCAAATGTCTGGGGACGGGGGGTGGCGAGCAACAGAGTGGTCTCTGATTGAGACCTTATGGTAATATAACTAGCTGACTGGTTCCTGAAGGGTCACAAATATGAACAGTGAAGCCACATGACACATTCTGAAAGTGTCAGAAGATGAAAGTGTATCACTCTGTGCTAACACATTATAAGAACTCTTTTCTAAAGCCAGTAATTTTAAAAATGCTTTCTTAATCACAATCACAGAAACTGAAGACTAAAATCGTTGTCTGCTCAGTGATTCTCAGAACAAGGTGGCAAACACACAGGGGATGCTGGATTTGTCTATTCTAGACCACTTTCTGCCTTCACTCTCTCCTCTGAACACTTCAGAGATAGGAAGCCACATGAGAGACACAGACTTTTAAAATAAGGAGGAGGGGCCCCTGGGTGGCTCAGTCAGTTAAGTATCCGACTTCGGCTCAGGTCATGATCTCACGGTTTGTGAGTTCAAGCCCCACATCGGGCTCTGTGCTGACAGCTCAGAGCCTGGAGCCTGCTTCGGATTCTGTGTCTCCCTCTCTCTCTGCCCCTCTCCTGCTCACACTCTGTCTCTCTCAAAATAAATAAACATTTTAAAAATTCATTAAAAAAATAAATAAAATAAAATAAGGAGGACAGATACTAACAAATTTCTAGGAAACAGAGACTTAGCAAATAATAGAATTGTCTCTCATTTAATTTTGTTTGAAAAGTGAAGAGAAATGTCCAATTCAAATATTTTAAAGGAGGCTTATGACCCCCCACTTTTGACTAAATAGGGATATATAATGCCTCCTCAGAATCTGCATTTCTTATTTAAAAATTTTATTTATTTTTTTAAAGTAATCTCTACACCCAATGTGGGGCTTGAACTCATGACCCTGAGATCAAGAGTCGCATGCTCCACCAACTGAGCCAGCCAGGCACCCCTGCATTTTCTGGATCAACAGTAAGAGCCGAAAACTCAATGTAAATGTTTTCCTTGGCCTGGGCCTTGCCAATGCAAACATGTCATATGAGGACTGATGATAGGAGCCGAAATCCACCCCTTGAAGTAATGTAGTGAGGTAACCCAAAGGAAAAAAAAATTCAGACACAGAGGAGATTTCACTAATGGACATGAGCCCTGATACAGTTCTAGCCATATCACTATACTGTTTTGAGAAAAAGGAACTAAAGGTGAAGCCAGACACATGCCATTAGTACCAAACTTTCACTCTTCGTCATAAAGCATTAAAAAAGGAAATGGCACTCCACAGGACCTCTTAAAAAGAAAGCAATCTGTGATATTACTCTGGGCATCGAGCCTACTAAACTACAAAATAAAGTTCAGGAAGTTGCTACTTAGGTAAAAGAAGGCTAAAAATAAGTGAGTGACCCAACTCAGAAATGCCAGGGAATCCTCTTGAACTCTGACAGCTTTCCTCTTGGCTGAGGATGAGCAGAAGATTTAGGACTTGGCATATGTAAAAAGCCCATCACGCACCTACAAACAGCAATGGGTCAGATCATGAGGCAAGGAGACACTGTATTGTCAAGTTCTCTACAGCTAAACAAGTGGATCAGAGCTGATTCGATGGGTATCAGTTTAAAAAAAAACTAAGACGGACCTTATATGTTTCCTTATGTGTTGTAGAAGTACATACATGTGTATTAGTCATATACTACATGACTAGAGGTTACAGTATATGACTACAGCATCCAAACACTAGGAAATGGGTTTTATTCATCTCTTTCTCTTCTCTTTTTACCATGGAGCTTGTGTATCTTTCAAATAGTAAGCTGCTTAATGGATCTAAAAACTCAAAAGTCCTAAGCGATGGTTTATATAAAGATCTGCACAGTCTCTCTGAGATTTTTTCTGAATGAAGAGAGACATACGTCTGGAAAAGCCAAAGAGCTGCCCAAAATTAAGGCACAGTAACTGCTGACAAGCAATAGAAATAATTCCTCAAAATTTTGTTCTCTGGACTCTGATTCATGAACAATTCCCATTTCATAACTTTGTTTACATGAATCTCATTTAGCTTCTAATGGGACTCATGAAAACTGTAAACATGTAAGCCAGAGAGAAGTGGAAAAATGAACTCTCACTACTGAGAAAAAGATCTTCAGACACAGAGAAGATAAGGATTGGAATGGAAAAGAGACTTATGAAATTCCTGAAGTCCTGAAAAGCCTGTAACAAATGTTTGCCAAGAATTTTCTAGGACTCCTTACAGGAAATGGAATGCCAGGCGCAGGGGAAAGGTGGAGGTGACACACAACAGAATACCACCCTACAGAAGGCAGAGCACACAACTAAAGGAGCCTAGATACACGTGAAGAATGGAGAGCAAGTGCTGATTTCCAACCTGTGGCGGCTGTGTGGTGGTGAAGCGGTATTCTCCTTGTTTGTCTCGATTGAACACAACTTTCCAAAGGACCATGTCAAGGAAGAAGTTCTGAGAGATATTCCAGTGAGTTAAGAATTAAAAATGACTAAGTCATTCTTTATTAATGCGCACATTTTTAAAAGGCTCACACAATGCTGCATCATTAGTGAAAAACATGACTTGGTTTTCATACAATTTCAGTTAATATTGAAAAAGGATAAAGTATAATAGAACTTTTTTTGTTTTACACAACAGAACTTTTGTAACAAATGTAAATCATCATAAAATTCTTGATAAAATGGGACCTCTAAACTTTCCACAAAATATGGCTTTTATTTGAATCCTCAGGCCTTTCCCACATTAAAACAATGGTTATAATCTGAGTTAACAATGAATTATTTTCACTGAGTTAAACATAATATGTATAAATGTGTATGACTTCATCAGAGTCCAACATAAATAATTCTTGACGGTGAGCAAGAATAATAAATTAAGAGAAATTATGAGAGGATTCCCTTAAAAATTTTTTAAAAATTTTATTTGAAATAACATTTATATGAACAGATGAACTTCTATAGAAAAAGGAAAGCTTTTAAAATATAGTATCTTGGATGTACTTTCTGGTGTCCATAAAACAGAGAAAATCATTTGCACTGGGCAATTTAAAAAGATCAGTACCATAATATCCATGCTGCCCACTATGGCCCAAATTTAAATACCAAGTCATCTTTTAGATAACAAATTAAACATAATTTCCAAGTTGAGAACAATTATCACCAAGGCACACACAGTTCCCCACAAATTACCTAATTTTAGTTCAAAAGCCTGCCTCATAAACAAACCCTTAACTTAAAAATCACAACTGCATCTCCTTCTTCCATTTCACCTATTGCTACTAGAGGAGTGAATTAGAATAGTAGTTCTGAGAACAGACACAATCTTATTAAAAAGAGCAAATGAGAACTTACTCGCTCCCTTTATAGAAGCCAAATTAAAGGCAATCCTACTAGGAGAGTAACTATAAAATACACAATGGATCAAAGAGGACTTAAGACCTCTAGAGGAAACTTAGAAGTAACTACCAAGAACGAAGTTCCAGCAGTCAGTGCTGGTAAGTTCACAGTGGTCGTTATTTTATACTTTCGATAAACTGTTATTAAAATTCACTACAATTCATGGAGAAAGCCCCTCCCTCCTTTCTTTCCTTCAATGGGAGATTTTACTGTATATCACAGGTCACTGGTGGTACATGCCCACTGTGATTTCATGATCACTGGTTTACTATAAGCACCAATCTTCTCTCCCTTCTAAAGATCACTGCTTTTTGCTATCTCACTGGTTACTTCTCCTATCTGTATGAGTGCAGCTAAGTTATATCCCTTAACAGGACTACATTCAGTTCATGGAAAAGGTCAAGAAGAAAAAGCTAAATGATTTTAACTAAAATGAAACTGAGATTCTTGGTAGATTTCCATGCTGCCACCTGTCCTCTTCCTCCAGGAGTATTAAATCACCAAGACTCCCAAAACAGCAACATAGTCATTTGATCATCTGAAGTGCTTACCTCCACCGTGATAGATACAAGGGCATTGACAAGAACAATCATAAGCATAGTTATACGCCACTGATATGGTACACACACTATCTGTAAGACAAAAATTTTTAAGTTAAAAATTGTAGTACGCAATTAACATTACTGCATTATATAATAATTTCTACATTTACCGAATTCTTACTATATACCAAGTACCTTCACATACATTATCTACTCTATCCTTAACAATGCCACAAGATATATCCACTTTTCCAATGACAAAAGTGTAACTCAAGGTTAAAAGAATACAGTAAAGCGGCTGAGCTTAGAGTCAAATCCTAATCACTAAGACTCAAAAGCCCATACTTTCTACTGGTTCATGAACTTCTAACAAGTCCCTATTTTTAAAGTAAAGTCTTGTCTTTAAACAATGAGGCAGATACCAATCTAATAATGAAGTATCACTCAAACCTCTACATATTGATATAAAGACAAATTCATAAAAGGACTATCCAAATCAATTTAACAAACAGTCTACGTTTTCACTTTAAAATCTATGTTTAATTTCTAAGGTCTAAAAAAGAAAAAGAAAAAAAATTCCATTCATGCATTCACCTTTTAGTCGACTAGCAAATATTTACTGAGCACCTAAGATACTATGCTAGGTGCTGTGGAGTTGATACGATCTAAGAGGTTTTAGAAAAACCCCTATGACTCCAGCAAGAAAGATTTCAGGGGTGGAGACTGCTATAGTGATCAAGGCAAGAGATGATGGAAGCTGAAACTAGTGATAGGGCCACAAAATAAGAAATATATATGTGGTTTCTGTGTAACACAGAGCTTTTAAAACTCTTTTAATTTCCCAAGTGATGTTGGCAATAGAAGCATCTTACCCAGAGCTTCTAAATCTCCTGGAATATCCTGGGTATCATGTTTTTTATTCTAATGAGGCTACTCTTGGTGGGCTCTGGTTAGCTTCAGGGTGGGGGTTGGTCATCAGAAAGACTAAGCCATGATTAGAAGCTCAGAACTTTCAGCCCCGCTCTCCCATCCTCCACAGAAGGGAGAGAGACTAGAGATTGAGTTAATAATGGGCCATGACTACATAATGAAGCCTCCATTTTAAAAAAATGTCCCTCAACTTCAGGGTTTGGAGAGCTTCTGGTTCGGTCAACACATGCATGTGCTGGGAGGGTGGTGCAGCCCCAACTCCACAGGAACAGAAGCTCTTATGCTCAAGACCTTTCTAGACCTCGGCCTATCTGCCTTTTCACCAGGTTGTACATTTGTACCTTTATTATAATCTTTATTATAAACCAATAAACATAAGTGTTTCCCTGAGTTTTACAGCAAATTCTCAAACCTGAGAAGTGGGTTCTGGGAACTCTGGTTCATAGCTAATTAGTCAGAAGTACAGGTGATGACTTGGGACTTGCAATTCGTTGGGGAGCACTCTTGTGGGACACAGCCCTTAACCTGTAAGGTCTGGCTAATTCCAGGTAGTGCCAGAACTGAACTGTAAGATACTGAGTTGGAGTCCAGAGTTGGAGACGAGTGTGGGAACAACCCCCACACAACTGGTGTCAGAAGTTTTGTGAACAGAGGAAACAACGGTTTCTTTTTAGGTGGCAAATGGGATGGATTAAAGCTAAAAGATTCAGAGTAAGAAAATGGAGAGAATCTAGGAAAAGACTGGCTTTGAAAAGAAAAGGAGAAGACAAGGACACATATACACACTTCTGACTTGGATAAATGGTGGTACAAAAAAAACCAAGACAAAGCAGGGTTGAGGAAGAATATGATGATAAGCTTAGTTATAAAAATGCTGAATCAGAGAACTGATGGGCGAACCACGCATATAATATTCAGTATGTCAGTGCATATTCAATCCTAAGGCTCAGTTGTGAGAGCTAGACCAACACAGATGGCACCATGGGTGAAGATGGCACTATAGAGCAGCTCACCCAAATGTACAGAGTAACACAAGCGAGAAGAACAAGAATGTGTGGAACACTAACATTTAAGGAACAGGAAGAGTCTGAATCCATCACAGAGAATGAGAACTAGTCATAAGGGTAGGAAAAAATCAGAAGAGAGCACAGCATCACAAAATTGTAGAGGGAGTCTCAAGAATAATCACATGGTTAACTTTTCAAATACTGCTGAAGAGTCAAGTAAGGTTGGGAAAAAAATAATTAAAAGGACAAGTCCACTGAACTTAAGAAGACAGATGTGAAGCAGCAGAAAGACACATGTGGTGGGAGAAACATAAGTGGTTTTTGTTTTCTTCTTTTGCTTAAAGTGCTTATCTAAATCCCTCCATGAAGCATGTGGGGAAACAGACACTCATACACTGCTGGTAAGGACTATAAATCGTCAATCTCTTCCAAGTTGAATAACACAGCTGCTTGTACCTGGGATAAACCACTCCATTCCCACTCTGTGGTATGTCAACACTCACTCCCATACACTACGGGACCTGTACTGCACGTTCATACCGGCACTGTTAACACAGGAAAAGACTACAAACAACCTAATTATTTACCAATGGAGAATGGAGAAATGCATGAAAATATATTCCTACAATGGAATTCTATATAGTAGTGAAAATGAAATGCATGTATCAACATGGATGCCTCTTAAAAATAATGCTAATGGGAAAAAGCAAGTCACAGAAAAATACAAATAGTAAGATAACATTGTCATATAGGTCAAAAGCAAGCAAAACTTCTATGGCTTCATACAGTATGGTAATTGTATAATGAAAAGCAAGCCAATGAGATAAAAAATTAGAATAGTGGTTCCCTCAGAATGTTTGGAAAAAGGTACATGATAGTGCCTTACTGATGCTGGTAGTGTTATCTTTTTAGGTTGGATGATGAACTCATGGGTGTTCTTTTATTACTATTATGCTTAACAACTTAAATAGGTGTGCATTTTCTTCTATATAATACAGGTATTTCAGCATTCATAAAGTTTTTAATGAAAAAAAGAACTCAGTGGACAGTGAAGAAGAGGCAGTAGGTATAGACTACTCAAGAAGTGGATCGATAAGGGACAGATCAAATAACAGGGTCAAAGTTTTTTTATTTTTAAAGACCAAGCAACATTTTTTTGTAGACAGGGAAATGGAACCAGAAGCAAAGACTGAAGGAACAGGAAAGAAACATAAAATAACAGGTAGAGCAATAAAAGCTGATGTTCCAATTATGTTCTTTATTCTTTCTAGGGTATTTTTGGGTCACTTTAACTGCATTTTAGAAAATTCAGAAAGAAGAGGTCCTGGGGGGGAAAGACCTTCAGAGTTGAGTCTCTGTCCCCAGTAACCCGAGAACAAAGGAGGGGGTAGATCATAAGCCCTAGCAAACATCCAGAAGTCCTATTTGGCTGTGTAACTTTCATGAACTATTAGTGTGTCATCTTCTATCACTGTCTTACTAGATATTATCACCCTCAGACAACCAGTAGTAATTGATGTGCTGAACCCTTACCTGAAGAACCTGGTCAATAGAGGCAACTGGATGCAACATGATGAGTAATATGAAAACATACAAAATAATCACAGACACAACAAAAAAATCTGAAAAAGAAAGTAAAACAATTAAATTAGAAGTTCCTTGAAATAAAAATGCATATAATAACAACTGGTATACTGGCAATCCTAAATTTGGTTTTCGATACAACTATTTAGGTTGATGAAGTACATAAAATGTGTGTTTTATGTTATTTCCTAGAGTACGGCACATCATCCATGCCCAAAGGATTCATTATGTGACATAGAAATAATCAGCATTTATAAAAATAGGAGACATTTTGTAGTTCTCCTAGATAGATAGCTAATTTATAAGATAATCAAGTCAATATATAATTCACAGATAGGAGACTAGATTATGTAGAGCAAAATGAAATTATCATTTAAAACATGTATGTAATAATTATTGTTGAATATAAAAATACTGAATAACATTTATTCCCAGTATTAAGTATGTTATAATCCTAAATGGAGACATTCTAATTTGACTGTAAGTATATTTCTGTTAAGTGTATCCCACTTTCTTAATGACTTCCTCCATGAAATATTTCTACAGAAAATGTACGCTAAAACCCAGAAACTGAGTATCTACTATTTTAAATGTGGGTTAATCCACTTGCTGCAGTAGCTAGGAGCGGTAAATTCAGTCTCAGAGTACTTTGCATTACTTTCCTAACTCCAAAATAAAACTCCCTGCTTGTGGTCATTTTGTTAACCGTGTACATACATGCATACACCTGCAAATATACAAACATACTCTCATATAATGAGCCTTAAGGCTCAGAACTTTCCCCATTATATTGCTACCCCCCCCCCCAACTTTTTCCCCTTGTTTCTTTGGTTTGGATATTTACTTACAAGTTCTTATTTGAGGTCATCTTGAAACTCAAATTTTACTAACACCATGTAAAACCAAAATTTTATCATGAAGCCTTCAGATTGGGTAAAGAAGTTAATATCCAATTTTTGGACTTTAAATGAGGAATCTCATACTATTTTTAAATGTGGGAGCCATTTACAAACACTGTTAATATGTCAGTTCAAAACTATAAGCCAATATTTATTGTTTTGTAGAAATAACATTATGTTCTATATATATGTATTTATTGTTTACATGTATTAATATCTAGATTTACTGTTCTAACAACTTGGGCTGGAAGTTTTATTAACATTCATGTCAAAGTGGGGACACTTTTTTTATTATAAGTCACTGACCAACAGGCTGAAAAATTTGGGTCCATGCTAGATTAAAAAAAAATACTTTTTCTAGATCTTTATTTTTAAAACCTACTACTAAGCTATAAACAGGAACTATAACATTCTATTCAATAAACGTAGCAACTAAAGTAATATATAAGTTACACAGTCACTCATACAGTTATTGTGGTCAGTTAAAGTGTTTGGACAGTGCTAATTTCAAGTACAGAAGCACACAAAAGACAAATTCAGAAAAAGGACAAGAAATGGTCAGAATACAAATGCCAAAGAGATATGGAGACAGAAAAGAAAGCTGGTTCAAAATAGTAATAGGCCATATTGAATGTTTTCCAACTTCGAATGCATTTTTACAGCCATAAGCAAAACAGATTTGCAATCTACTTCCTGACATGTTGCCAGAAAAAAACAATTTTTTTTTTTGTTTTCCTTTACTCAGGCTCACAAATGTCTTACATCTACCTCAACAGTGTTTCTCAAACGTTCCTGTCTTTCTCCTAGAAAGACACACCTTTGATCACACCTCTAAAAAATCTGCCAAGATTTTCCATGTGAAGCAGAAAATAACCAGTTGAACCTCTCCTCTGTTTAGCCAGGGGAGAAAAAGAGGCACTATTCAAAGAATCTGATGGGGAGGTGCATGGTTGGCAGATGTATATAACCACTGCAGTGAAAAGATCAATAGGGAAACCAAGAACGAGAAAATCAGGTACTCGTTTTTGAGAGGTACAGAGTTTCTAGTAAACTGTGCTCTCTGCTCCTGGACTCTGCTGGCATTGCTACGGAAGTACAAGTAAGGCTCTTCACCAGAAGACAGCAATCAAAACAAATTCTGTGTTGGTGGTAACTGGAGATCAGGGAACAATGTTCCGTAAGTTAAAGATTTAGATTCTACCACAAAGCTGTGTGAACAGGGAACAAGTCCTTTGGAGTCAAGGTATTTTAACTAACATGATGAGGATACCACAGGGAAAAGCAGACTTAGTCCTTAAAAGGCAAAGCAATAAGTAAATTAAAGTTATTAAATATGTCCCAGCTTAGGGCATCACAGATTTGTTGTTGATTATACCAGACCATTTTGATGGAATGTGGCAACAAAATCAAGCACCAGAAGGATTTCTTTTATATTCCCCTTGGTATGTGACTCAAAAATAAACCCTTACATAGGATAAATAAGCATACAAACTTGTTTACGACTCTGATATATACTTCTCTAGCTGTTCCTTCCTCAAAAAATATGAACTGGGATCTTCTGAGCCATAACCACAAATTTCAAGTCTTTTTATTCCTAATTCTCCCTCCTCTCCCCCCACCCCCTCGCCCTTCCTTACTCAGTTTCTTATCTTTGAAAGGCCAGCTTATCCTGCAGGGCCTCTAGGTATCTGCCTCCAACCAATTCAGGCCTGGCAGATGACCAGGAAAAAATGCATATACCCTGAGGAAGAGAGATCCTGGCAGTTCAGTAGTGATGTCTTCACAGACTGAGAAAGGACTAGGATGTCACAAGCAGGAGTTATAGGGGTCAAGTCAAGAAACTGGAGCAAAAACTGAAGCCAAATCCCAAGAAATCACATCTAGTTAAATGAGAGTGTAAAAATTAAGTCTGTATCATCATGGCCCTCGAAATGATAGCATGGTCAAAGGAGAAAATATAAGTGGGCTAAGCTAAAGTTGAAAATGGGTCACCACAGACTGAAATTTGGTTTTATTTAGAATCCAACCAGTAGAAGAGAAAAAAAAAAACCCAACTCTGAAGAGACTGCCTTAAATGCCTAAGACAGATATTAATTTTTAAAAACAGTAATCAAGATAGGTTTCATACGTTTTACTATTTAGATACAGAGAACAGCAACTAGCAAGTCCTGGCAAAGAACTGTTAACTGTCTATTCTACAGTAAAAAATGAAAAGCTAATGTCAACTCTAGTAAAGCCTTAACCTTTTCTCCATTCATTTCAACTATATTTATACTTTACATTGTATGTTAGACTTTATTTCTGTCAGTTCTTATTTTCTACTTTTCTTTCTTTATTCATCAGTAACTCCAAGATTAGGAGACTCCAATGACAGGCAGACAAGATGTGAAAATTAGCAAAATATGTATATGTTGACTTTAGTGTTCCTATTTTACTTTCTAGCAGGCATGTTTTAAGATAGCATGCACTTCTGTTTATCCACTGACAGACATGCACAAACTGCTTATATTAAGGACAAAAGTTTTGTGGCTATATTTCTGCCAAATCACAATTTTTAATCATGTTCTAACAAAAATAGGCCAGTGATCAACAATTGGGATTATTTTTTATTCAAGTGAATTTGAAATTAAATTGGAATATAAAATACCTTAATACAAAATTACATGGGAATACAAAGCCTTTAAGTTTTTTTGAAGTTTTCCAAATAACACAAAAGATGCGTTTAAAATAGGAAAACAATCTTTTTTTTAATTGGAGAAGCATGGATATGGTAGATTTTCTCAGACCTCTAAAATTAACTTTCCTGACACAGCTGTCTTGCTTACCAAACAGTCTGAACACCAGTTTTCTTAATTAAAAAAAGGGGGGGAGGCATTATTCTCTGACAGATGTTTCAGCTAACCTTGGGCATGCTAAATATTTCCTTGAAATTTAAAAATATGGAACTAAAACTAAAACACATACATCAACTTTCACTAAGTTCACCTCAACTAAAGCTAACTTTAGTTACAAAGTCCTCTTAGAAGAAGTAATTGACCTTCTATGGAAGGCTTTTTGTCCCAAAGCATGCTTCCAATATGGTCTCAGTAATATACTTTCTACTTATTAGATAATATCAGTTTTTGTGAAAAAAAAAAAAAAAAAAAAAAAAAAAAAGTAAAAACAGATGACAATATTGATACTTGAATCATCTTAACCTGTCCAAATGTATGAAGCAATAAAACTTGACCTACAAACCACATAGGGTAGAAGAATAAAATAATGTGAAAATGCGCTGTAAACTGACGTGACAGGTATAATTTACCGAAATCTGTGACCAGTTTGCCAAGTAGAACACCAGCATTTCTTTACATCTACAACAAAGAATAACTACTATTCATTCTATAATATTGCAAATATCTGAAGTTTTATATGAAAAAAATTAAGTTGTCCCAGATATTAGTATATTCTCAAATTTTAAAAAAATTGGCAATTGATGTTTTTCCCTATAAGCTCCAATTTTGATTAATCGAAATGCTATCTCCTACTGCCATAGGTAGACAAGTTTGACACCAGCACAAGACTCCCTTCTACTGGCCCTTTCGGCAGTGGATGCAGAGGTGACAGAAAGAAAGAACTGCAGGTGAACGCTGTCTGCACCAGTGTCAAAAATGACAGGAAGACAGTTGGCACTGTGCAGACCGCCCAGCAGCAGAGAGCAATACCCACTGTTCCAACTGAAGATCCTCTGTTCCTGCTTCTAATTCTAACTCTGTCTGCAACGTGCTGTAAAAATAAAAGCTGGAGCCAGAAGCAATAGGATGTGAAAACCAGGAATGTTTAGAACAGGGTGGCTTCAATTTTAAACTTTAGACTGGCAGCTCCCATGAGAACAAAACAAGACAGTAAACATCTAAATCACTAGGTTCATTCTACTCATGAAGACCTATTTCACATTGAAAGAACAGTTTCAACTCTACTCTTCTTACATTATTTTTAAAGAAAGGAAGCAGGATAAAAGAAATCACAACAAATGCCAAACTTACAATTCTTGTAGCAAGGTTGCCTGAAGGGTTTTCCTTTTGAAAAGGCAATTGCCACTATGAGGTACTGAAAACTGGAGATAAAAAACACTGTGGTATTTTCATAATTTTGTATATTATGTGTATCAGGTTTGGTTTCATTGTCCAAGTATGAAGAATTCCAATACAGGCTTCTCGTCGTATTACAAGCACTAGAACACAAAAAATGTTTACATTACTAAACACAATACTCACTTCCCAAAAGTTCACTGTCCTCAATCACTATCATAACATAAATAGAAATAAGGTGGTGCTTATAGGAAGAGATCCAACAACATCAAGGTAAAATATATGGAACAGGCACACCAGCGTTAAGTGTCTCTTCTCTTTAGTCACATTCCAATCAGTTTAAAAAACTAGAAGAAACGTCATAATAAATAAGCCCCACTCATTGTTTAAATTTAAGGATGATACTAATATAACACTGTATGTGGATTATACTGGGGTAAAATTTTTTAAAAAATCAAATTTTGAGAGTAATTTTAACACAGTAAAGGTTAACAGACCTTAGGTCTGACCTTAGCTCTACCAATTTTTTGGCTTAATCGAGGAAATATTACTTTATTTCTCAGCCCATTTCCTGACCTATAAGTGTGGATACCACCTGTGCCATCACAGGGTTACTGTTAAGGAATGAGGGATGACTCTGTCAATGCCTAGGAAAGCACCTGGCACCTAGACGACCCTCAATATTCTCACCGATGTATGGTGCTCTTTGAGCTCTACTCCCAGGTGGGCAGGACAGTCAAACACAGGTAATACCCATTACTAAAACACTAACTACATAAGCACAGGCAACTAGTAACAAAATGTTAATCTGCTACAAATGAACTCTGGAGAGATACTCCGGAACAATTCCATCTATTTCTTTTTCTGTGCAGTGTCCATATGTACATATAAGCAAACAGTAATGTTAAATTTCTTAAAGTTTCCTGAAACTTAAAAAAAAAATTTTTTTTTTAACATTTATTTATTATTGAGAGACAGAGACAGACAGAGCATGAGCATGGGAGGAGCAGAGAGTGGGGGAGACAGAGAATCTGAAGCAGGCTCCAGGCTCCGAGCTGTCAGCACAGAGCCCGACGTGGGACTTGAACTCACAAACCGCGAGATCATGACCTGAGCCGATGTTGGACGCTATACTGACTGAGCCACCCAGGCGCCCCAAGTTTCCTGAAACTTTTAAAGACAATCTCCTTTCATTATAAGCAAACTATAAATAAATGTTTGCATCTAAAAATTTAATTCTACAAAATTACCTTAGTGAATGGCTTACATGTTTGATTAATTAAAATAATGTTATCATAATCCGTCACTGACAGAACACTCTACCTTATAAGTAAGAGAAGCACTTGGCAGTTTTTTTACGAGTTTTTTTTCTATTGTTTGTTTTAAAATGCTATTTCCTAAACTTAGGGTAGAAAAGTTCGACACACAAACATTCTGGGTTTAGGAAAGACTCTAGTGATTAATTTCAACTTTCTCACTTTACAGGTAAGGAAAGCAAAGCTCAGTAGCAAATTAAGAAACTGGTCCAATATCCTCATGTTGGTAGTGACCATGAGGACCTTGCCTGACCATCTTTCTACATATAAAAGGAGTTACCATAATATTTCTAATCAAATATAAGCCAAATAATTTAACTATTTAATCAAGCTGCCTGTGAACTGTTATATAAATTTCAAAACTTATTTTTACATGCATACATGTTACACATATCTTACACACATTTTTTAAATGGATTGACCAACTTACTCTGACTGCGGATGCCATACTTCATACCAAGATTGCTGCTTGACCCAAAAAAACCCCAAAGATTGAAATCCAATGCAGATGATGATCTGAGACAAAACGGAGAAGAGAAGGGCCCCAGATATAAGACCTGAGGGTGGTCTTTGTGCCACAAGTTCCTTCCAGGCAGGATTTAAACTCACTATATTGAGAAGAAAAACAGGAGGAGGTTTCATCTAAATTAGTTGCTATAAAACTCAGATTCATTTAGGAACTTAAATTTATTTCTAACAAATCTTTACTATAAAAATTGTCCAAAACCCAATCCAGATGTCATACAGATTTAAGTAATCTGTAAAAGTAAACAATTTAGGCTTTTTCAAAAGTGTACTATTTTTTTCATGAGTACTTTTACATTACCCCACTGAAATTCAGAGAAACACTAGTATAAGTAAAAAGAATACTAAACATAAACTATAACATCAATCACCATCCTTTTATGTTCAACTAAAAATTTATTTATTTCTCAATCTGTAATTGCAAATCTACAGTAATAATACATATTTTCTCCTCTTAAAAAGACATTAACAAAGGTTGGAAGCTATATAAACATAACCGTAACCAAAAAAGGCTTTGATTGCTTATTAAGGTGATGCCCCCCAAGTTTCTCCACAACATTCCTCTTTATAATTGATAAGTAATTTGTAAAAAGAGATTGAAACTATGTAAAAATCCTGTTCCTCATTAAACTTTCACGCCAGTTTTAGTATCCACTAAAGACGATCTAATCCATGGTTGGTTGGTTCTCAACCAACATGCTTTTGACCCCTGAGAACATCTGGCAATGTCTGGAGATATTCTTGGTTGCCACAACCGTGGCTGTGTTACTGGCACGTAGGGGTAGAGGCCAGAGATGCTGGTCTAATGCACAGGATAGAATTAGCTGTTTTAACAGATGAATCAGATCAGGGTCTTTTCATGGTCTAAGCCCATCATTCCTTCTATATTTATTAGTTTGCATTTTACTCTCAGGAAGAGCTTTCCCTTCTCTCCCTATTTATTTCCAATATGAACTTGTGAATATTCATTTGACTAAATGGGTCATATCCCATTACATCATTACTTATTTTTATATAATCACAAAGACCAGAATAAACCAACATCTTGTGTCTCCTCATATGCTGTACTGAGGATACAACATCACTTCTGCCATGTTCCTGCCAAGAATTCATAGCCCAAGTCTAAAGAGACTACATCAGACATCCATATATTTGGTTTCTCTTCTTTCATAAATGTCAACATCAAGATGCCCAAAAAAGGGCTGATGTAATATTCTGGATTAAAAAAAGACTAAAGAGAAAAGATAATTTGTGAGCCTGGGTTAGATCCTGGTCTAGAGAACTAGGGGAACAAAATAAGTAGAAAAGATATTATTTGGATATATGACAACACTTGATTATGGGCTGTGGGTTAGATAATACTGTATGAGTGTTAAATTTCCTGATCTTTATAACTATGGTTTGTTTTGTTTTTTAATGTTTAGTGTTTGAGAGACAGAGCACGAGCAGGCGAGGAACAGACAGAGAGGGAGACACAGAATCCAAAGCAGGCTCTAGGCTCCGAGCTGTCAGCACGGAACCTTGATGCGGGGCTCGAACCCACAAACTGAGATCATGACCTGAGTCGAAATCGGACGCTTAACTGACTGAACCACCCAGGTGCCCCATAACTATGTTTAATTATGTCAGAGAATGGCTTTGTTTTACGGCAATATACACAATATTCAGAGACAAAGGGGCATGATAACACAAACTTATTTTCAAATATTTCAGAAAAACATGGACAGAGAACAATAAAATAGGGCAAATGAAAACAATGAGCAGTAAAAGAACATATTTACAGGGAATCTGAAGAAGTATGCACTGTTATAATTATTGATATAAATTTACCAAAGTTTAATGAGTTACATCAGAATTTCATATGCTTTTAAATCGATAGTAAAGCAAAATACTCACTTGTAAATACCACTACCAAAATGATTGCCAGATCAATGAAGAGAAACTGGAAGTCTCCCAGGTTACTTAAGATCTACAGAAGTGATTTTTAAAACATAATTAGTTTTCAGAAATTCTTTTTATACCATTTTCCCTGGCTTTAGATTTTCCTCCCTTGGTTTCAGTTGCCCCCCTCCATGCACTCCCCCTCAACCCCGATAAAGACAACTTTAAAATGACACTTGGACTTGCTTAAAAATTAAAACATGTTTGCCTTTGATATTAGTGACATAGAACATACGTTTGCAAACATTCAATTTATTAATATAAAAGGCATCTCCTAAAAATTCATTCAATATAAATCTTAAACCTTTTGGCAAAAAGGAAACACAAGCTTTTACTCACAATATTCAACATTCTTGAAAATTAGTATCTCAAAGCTTCCTTAATATCTAACACCATCCCTCCTGATACTTTCTACAAGGTAGAAGGGATATTTTCACAAAGACTCCCTGGCATGTCACTAATGTTAATTTTGAGAAAACTCTAAAGTGATCTCACTTCAATTATAAAATCCAGTGGATTACCTATGGACATCACTGTTTACACTTTTTCTCCAAGTGCATAAAGTCCTACAAACTACTGCTGAAACACCTTTTCTCATTCTGACCTTTTCTGAAAATGTATCGCAAGGTTAACTACAATCCTGAAATATGTCACAGCTTGACATTTTGAAGAGTTCTAAGAAAGACGCCCAATCTGAGCTAAAGGCAAAAAAAGAATACAATCATCTTTTATTCACGAGGCTTTAGCCACAGTTGTCAGCCTTAAAGAAAATGCTATTCTAGATCAATGAGATTTTCAATCTGCTACTCAAAATATAACAAACCAAAGGAAAACTTACAGATGCTAGTTATGTAGTTTCATAATTAGTAGACACATACATACTCAATTTTTTAGCTTAAATGCCTTAACACTAAGCAGCATCTCTATAAGCAATGTTGGTACTCACAGAATATAGCAGAGTAACACTGAAGTACTGTATAATGCTGTACAAAGCCATAAATTTAAACACACAGAAAGAAGTCATTAAAGCAGCACGGCCTTCCCTATGAAAACAAATGTTGGCATGTGAATAAAAGCATTTTGAATTCCTCTTCAAAATCACAATTATATCTTGACAGATGAATAGCAACATTCAACAGCTACAACAAAGCACTTTTCTACCAAAAGAACTAAACCAAAGCAGAACTGAAAGAGATGAAAAGTAGCAACCAGTTGGTAACTAAGGTATAGAATATACTAATACACCATTACAACAAATTCATACTCATTTCTATAATTTTTTTTCTACATTATTAGAGCAAGCCACAAAGAGATAATGGGAAAATTTTCAATTTGTGCTACCTGATAAGGTTTGGCACACAGGAAATACTAGGAGTTTTGGAGGTAAAGGGAGATGCCACTGAAGCCTCAAGCTCTGATAATGAAATGCCTCCATGTGCCCTCTTCAAAGCCTAATGGTTTGAAGAAGAAAAGGAGTTAAGTTTTGTGAATGGGACTTGGGTAGAGAAAGAATTATGAATCACAAAAACCATACTTACACCACAATCATTTGCCCCATCACCGCACATTCCAACGAAGTAACTGAGAAAGAAAAATTATGTCGATTAATTTTTTAAAATAAACAACATTTAACTTAATACTTCTTCAGGGGCACCGCGGTGGCTCAGTCAGTTAAGTGTCTGACTTCAGCTCAGGTCATGATCCGCACTTCATGAGTTTGAGCCCTGCATCGTGCCCTGTGCTGACAGCTCAGAGCCTGGAGTCTGCCTCAGATTCTGTGTCTCCCTCTCTCTCTACCCCTCCTATGCTCACACTCTCTTTCTCTCAAAAATAAACAAACATTAAAAATTTTTTCACTAAAAATTTTTTTTAAAAAAGGATTTTCTAATACATTATGAACAGCTAACAGACCAAGACCTCCCCACTGAAACTGACAAATCTTTTTACCACACTGACCACAGGCATTTTGCTTTGTAAACAGCACCAGCTTGCAAGTCAAATGACCTGGGTTATTGTCCCATTTCTGTCACAAGCTGTGCAAATAGTTTATTATTTGGCATCTTAATTTCCTAATCTGTAGAACAAAGGTCTTAGGCCTGTACAGTCTTTAGTAACCTACTTTTAAGGTTATCAGTAAAGATTTCTCCCTTTAAAACTGGAAACAATTATTTATAGAAACTATAAAGTCACTTCTAGAAGCTGAGTAAATGAACTCTATCTAAAAGATATTACCTGGAAAAGGAATTGTGGATATTTATTTTCGCTAAATAAATGAGTACATGAGCCTCTTGTAAAGAGGCACTTAGAGTTATCACCTATCTTGCAGGTGACAATTCTATACACATGAAATATCAGTTACTTTTCTGGGTTTGAAAATGAAATTACAATTCATAAAAATAAAACACCACCAATACTTACTCTACATTTTGCAATGCTTCTATTAATTGTGTCTTCTGATCAGGTGCCATACGAGCAAAAACAGTGCCATGCAACATCAACTGAAAAAAATATGAATTTCTTTAAAATACTATTCACAATGTATTCTTGTGAACACAAACATACATAAACCCAAGTCACTAACCTTAGGAGCAAGGTCTTGAAAATGTTCCAATATCACTGAAAATGATTTTCCATTCATTGCAAAATGGTAACGAGTCACTTGAAGATTCTCTAAGCTATTATGGACCAATTTAATTGGAATAGCCTATGTACAAGACATTCAAAACAATATTTAGGCAGCAGCCAAACCAAGTAATACAATCCTATTTTTTAATTTAAAAAAAAAAAAAATTTTTTTTACATTTATTTATTTATTTTTGAGAGACAGAGACAGAGCACAAGAGGGGGATGGGCAGAGGGAGAAGGAAACACAGAATCCAAAGCAGGTTCCAGGCTCCGAGCTGTCAGCACAGAACCCGATGCGGGGCTTAAACTCACAAACTGTGAGATCATGACCTGAGCCGAAGTCAGATGCTCAACCAACTGAGCCACCCAGGCGCCCCAATCCTATTTTAAATATATCTGATCTATGGGGTGCTTGGATGGCTCAGTCAGTTAAGTGTCCGATTTCAGCTCAGGTCATGATCTCACAGTTCGTGAGTTCAAGCCCCATTTCAGGCTCTCTGCTGGAGCCTGGAGCCTGCTTCTGATTCTGTGTCTCCCTCTCTCTCTGCCCCTCCCCAACTCAGGCTCGCTCTGTCTCTCTCAAAAATAAACATATAAATAAATAAACAAACAAACAAATAAATAAGATCCAAAACTAAATTCTTTCATTTGATATTTTACATAAAACAATCAAAGTTTAACATTTTTTGAAAGTGAAAAGAAACTCAATGTTAAGGTAATCATCCAGTGATGTTTATTTAAAACAAATAAAGAAAGGCTAAATATCAGCTTCAGTTTGAAATAATGCATGAATGAAACATTATGGACCACTTGTATCATTTATCGCTACTTTTAAAATAGGATAAATACCTGGGATTCTTATACTATAAAATGGTGCTTCTCAGCTTTGGCTAAATATCCACAATTTGAGGTACCTGGGTCTTACCTAGTCCTAATGAATCAATCTCTGAGGAGACAGCCCAGGCGTCTGTTTTCATTTATGTTTTGTTGTGTTGTATTTTAATGCACCACTTTTTATTTCTTCAGACTAAATTCAAACAAGCAAGCTTCAAAAGGAAAAAATCATCTTGACATTACCTCCGAGTCAATGGCTGATGAATTACTGCACTGTGTTAGGGTGTCTGCATAATGCCAGTTTATCTTGGCAACTTTCCCATCCTTCGGAGGTAATGCTTCAGCAATAATAACTTTATCCTGAGGTAGTATCATTCCACAGTCTCTGGCCACAGAGACAGCAGTCAACATGTTGTCACCTAATGTTCAAAATATTGACAATATGTTAAAATTAAAATGGAAACATAAATGTACTTGACAACAATACTTACCCAGAATCTCTATTACCCCCTGACTACGCTTGGCAAAATGAGGATCCTGTACAGTCTTACCCCTTGGAGCTTCAAAATACCAAAAATCAAAACATACTTTTCAAAGGAAGCCTCAAATAACTCCAGCACACATATGCTAAACAGACCACTCTTACCCACACTTTTTAAAGTCAGATACATTCTGAATCTTTTTGTCATGCGCTGGTAGCACCCACCAATGCCTGGCACCGTGTCACACACACAGCAGGTGCTCAAAAACTATTTGTTGAAATAACTAAAGAGTGACCGGTAGTCTGTACAAGAATGCCTAAGATCACAGGGAAAAAAAAAAAAAAAAAGAATGGATTACAAAAGCAAAAAGATAAAGAAGGTAACAAGAATGCAATCTTTACAAGATATAAAGAGAACCTCTCCGTTGCGAAAAGGCAAGAACTGAAAAGAAAAGAAGCCCTGTAAGGACAGGCTCAAGAGAAGAAAATATAAACATATGTGAAAAGCCAGCAAAGGTATGAGAAGTTCACTGCTGCCAGAACGGAAGGGCAATATTACTTCTTCCCCCAATTTCCACACATTATTTCCAAGGGCATCCTCCTATGACAAGAGTGACCCCCACCTTGGGAACCAAAGCCACAGTTTGTCACAGCAGAGAAAGAGGAAAGTGCTTTCAAGGAGGAATCATTAGAAGCAAGGAATTGCTGGGATGCTAATAAATGTATCTACTTGAGCTACACAGTAATAAGTATACTATTGGATGGGTCTCAGAGTCTAAAACAAACAAAAAAAAATGTACACATGCCCTTTCCATATAAGGCTTAGTGAATATATAAAGCCATAAAGTGACTACCTTAATTATGATTATTTACTAAGAAAAAACACTTAGGAGCTGCCACAGTTTCACAAAGCTAAGGAATGGGAATTACATAATATTTATCAACAGCATAATACCAGGAGAATCACTTAGAATAGTACTCAAAAATCACAAACAAATCAAACAATGGCTATCTTCACTAGTATGCATTCAAGCAATGATAATGAACATACTCTTATACATAAAAGTGTAATTCTAACAAATATCTGTTAATCATTTTTCATGCATCTAGCGCAGTTTTAACAATTGCAGAAGACCCCAAAATGAACAAAACATTGTCTTCCCCCTCTAGAATCGTATATTCTAATAGGGAAAACAAACCTGCAAATAGCACAAGATATAATAACTGCTATAATGTATTATTAAAGAGAGGTAACAAAAAAGGAGCAGTATCTAAATTTTTACAGTATGCCCTTCACCATTTTACTGTTTCTATAAATAGAATTTGCTAGCCCTTAAAAGAGTATTACAAAGTTATAACTTTGAAGAATATTCTGAGCTGAAATGGGGCATGGGAGGACGAAGCCACTATGTGCTTTTATAACTGTCTGGTCATTCCACCACATTATATAACTTGAACTCTAAGAGTCACACTCAATTTTTCCTGTGTCCTTTTATAAAGTCTAACCTGTGACCATGACCGTGCGAATGTTGGCTTTATGCAAATCTTCAAGTACTCCAGGGGTTTCTTGCTTTAATTTGTTCTGCATTATAATTAATCCCATAAAATCCATGTTGTTTTCAATGACATCTCTGCAGAAAAAGAAATTTTAACACATAATGGTTTAGAAATTTTAACACGTAATGAAACAGTATCTGTTCTCTTTATACTGATAAAGCAATGTAAAATACCCATAAATTGTACATCAAACCATTTTGTATGTTGAATAAAGCATAAATGTGTTTGAGTTCAATATCTCAAACTTATATCTGGAAAAACAATTCCCAAGAGATATAAATGAAATTAAATTTCATCTTTGGAAATGTGAGAATAAAGATAATTTGGAAATGTTATCTTTGTAAGATACTAAACACTTGTAGTACTAAGGAATGTTCATCTTATATTCCACCTGCAAAATGAATAAGCATAAATAAATCTATGCTTTACTGTCCCCACCTCCACACAACATACCCTAACTTAAATGTCCAGAGAAAAGGAAAAAATTTGACTATAAGCACACTCAATAGTTACACTGTATTATGATCAAGTCTTTGAAGAATTTTAGAAAAGTCTTGATCAAATTCTTTCTTTTTTAAGTTTATTTATTTTGAGAGAGAACGAGATAGCACATGCAGGCAGAGAGAGAGAGAGAGAGAGAGACAAAGAGAATCCAAAGCAGGCTCCATCCACACTGTGAGCAGAGCCCAACTCAGGGCTCGATTTCATGAACTGTGAGATCATGACCTGAGCCAAAATCAAGAGTCAGATGCTTAACTGATTGAGCCACCCATGTGCCCTTTGATCAAATTCTTGATTCTAGAAGTGTGATATTAAACCTATTAGCAGTCTGACAATGAGATCTATTTGGGCCCCAGAAATGGGTCTCTGAGAATATTTACAATAGCTATCAGGACACAATTCCTTCAAAAGTTGAGTATCCACTCTGTACCAAGTAGTACTACCAGTCATTGGAAGGTCAAAGATGAAAAGGTATGATCTGTACTCTCAAGGCGTTTTTTTGGTTGTGGTGTGTGTGTGTTTGTGTGTGTGTGTGTGTGTGTGTGTGTGTGTGTGTATGAGAGAGAGACAGAGAGAGAGAGAGAGAGAGATTGTGAGAGAGAGAAAACAGACATGCAAGCAAAGAGATGCATGCAAAAATAACATGTGCATTATCATGGAAATGGATGCATTCTTAAGAAATTTCAAACTACCAGAACCGTATCACAGAAATAGGTTTTGTTTTGTTTTGTTTTGTTTTGTTTTCAATGGAGAAAGAAGGCTGAGATTAGGAACCAAAATTTCAGACTGGCAATAACCAACTGGTTTTTCTACACAAAATTCAATAAAGGTGCTTATTAAGCACATAGCTCTAAAACATAAAACACTCTGAAATATAATTTATATTTATGTATGAGTGGTAAAGGTATCAAAGAACAGTTAAGAAGCAATACAAATGACACTGCTGGTGGTGATAGGAAAAATAAGCCTTGAAGCCTGAAAATGCATTTCAAAGAACACAGTTGTATTGATGTGAAAACTCTGGGGTCAAAGCACTACAAGCCGTGTTCCCATGATCTGCTAGGTTCTGGCTGCTACTGGTTTCCTTACTCTCCAACGAATGATACAGGTCATGGCAATATTGTTCTCTAATGAATGAATAATCCAATATTCAACTCAAGATAGAAAGGTTCAAGCTACGAGAGAAATGTCAAAACCTGCTCTTGTAAGATAAGATGGAAATACAGAGAGGTTCTTGGTTGAAGCACGTGAAAGGAGAGTAGAGAAAGAGAGAAACAGGGACAGGATATCCTGGGCAGAAGGAACAGCCTACTCAAGGGCACGCAATGATGTCTGAATATGACAGGCTTAAGAACTACAGACAAATCAGTAGTTTTAAAGGTCCCAGCAAAAGGTGAAGCTGTAGAGAAAGAGCCTAACATGCCCTTCACCAGAATTAGAAAGTAACATTGTACATGTGTAGCTCCCAACCATGCATATCCATCAGATCTGGCTAATGCTTTTCTTTTTTTTGAAACGTTCATGCTTAAACATGCTTCACCCCCAAATATTGTTTCAATAGGCAGAATTCCTAATGCAGTTTTTCCTTTTAGTTATTGGGCTAGCCACTCCACTCCTTAGTTCTCATTTGGTAAAACAGGATTGCACAACAAATATAAACACCATCCTACTCTTTTCACTTAGTGTGCCTGAGATACAGGGATCTCCCACTTTTTCCAAGTTCACATTAGGCCATTTCACTTTTACGAAAGGCCTACGTTACTCATTTTCACTAACCAAAAGAAACCTGAAGATTTTTTGCTTTCGAGAAAAAAAAATAAGAGGCAAATATAGCGTCCAACATGTGTTTTGCAGCAAGCCATTTTAGAAGCAGTGCACTTCCACGCAGAGAGAGAGGTGCTCCCCAGTTCCTTCCCTGGGGATTATAATCTGCATCTCAGCATCAAGCTGCATAGTTTTGAACTGTGTCTGTGAGCTTCTTACTCTACCTTGATTTATTCTGTGCCTGAATTAGCAAGATGTGTCCTACGCTATAAGAAAAGCTTCAAAGAGATTATTTTTGGCGTCTGGAAGCAAAAACTTTTCCACATACATTAATTGTAACTGTTTCTTCATTTTAAGCCATTTCAGCTTAGGAACGATTTTATAGGAATGCTCTACTTTGACAGCAGGAGGAGTTGTTATTAACAGCAATGTTAACAGCCCATAGTTTAGCCATTGCCCTATGGGTATTATGTTATTTGCACTATTTAAACATGAACCTTATGCACACATAGAAATAGCTCTTTAATCTGGATTCTTAGAACTGCACTTGCTGGGTCAAACTGTATAAGCAAATTCAAATTTTGATAGGTACTACACATGTTTATTATGAATCTACAATAGTGTAGTAGCAGTATGTTGTTAAATTTTTCCCAAGCCATTACTAACATTTGGTATTGTCAAAATTTTCAACTTTTCCAACCTTAGGAGAGAAGTGATGTCTCACTGTGGTTTTATTTTGTAGTTCCTCAAAGAACTAAATAAAGTATACTACCCTTTTCATGTGTTCATCTGCCATCTGTATGCCTTTTTCTGATTCTTATCTGCTTGTGTAATTCATCTTTTTTTTTTTTTTTCCAAATTAAGTGTTGCGTGTTTTGTTTTCTTTCTTTCCTGATACATTTTCCTAACAGTAAACTCTTCCAGTAGATGATGGGAAGCCATTTATAAGAATTCCAACTAGAGGAGCACCTGGACAGCTCAGTCAATTAAGTGTCTGACTTCGGCTCAGGATCTCTCGGTTCGTGGGTTCGAGTCCCATGTTGGGCTCTGTGCTGCCAGTTCAGAGCCTGCAGCCCACTTTGGAATCTGTGTCTCCCTCTCTCTCTGCCTCTCCCATGCTTGTGCTCTGTCTCTTTCAAAAATAAATATACGTTAAAAAAAAAAAAAAAAAGAATTCCAACTAGAGACCGGTGTGTTAAAAAGCTCTCTGAAGGCACTATGAAACACAAATTAAAGAGTGGAAAAGACTGGAGAAAAGTAAACGTGATGATGGTTATGTCATTCGACCTTTGGAAGCAGGGAGGTGGGGAATGGTGGTAATTAGTTATTAGGACTCATGCTACTCTGGCCAAAATAATACTTGGTTCGAACAACTGGGCAAAACCAAGTATTTCATTTGGGAAAAACAAACTACTATAGAATTATGTTTATGTTTTCAAACATAATTATGTTCCTAGAACATACCTGACACATAGCAGGCACTAAATAAATATTTAACAAAGTGAGAAGGGTTTCAAAGATTTGTACTTGTATCTCAATCACCTAAAACAAACACTGCATAAGGTACAGTTCCATACATTCAATAAATATTTAATAGGGTTTTTGGAAAGATGGCTAAGCAGCATGGAGATCCTCAGCTTGTCTCGTCCCTGAAACACAGCTAGATCAGCACCAAACCATTTTGCACACCCAGGAAACTGATCTGAGGATTAACACAACAATCTGCATAACTTGAGCCAGAGAACTCGGCAGGTACACAGTGTGGACAGGCGAACTGAGAAAGAGAAAAGCCACAGAGGGTAGGGAGCTATTTTTGCAGAGAAAGGAAAAAGAAAGGGGGAGTGTGTGGCACATCAGGAGAGTGCAGGAAAAACACTCCCCTGAAAGTAGCTGGAGAGAAAGAGAAAGAGTGAAAACACTCACAGGAAACTGAACAAGAAATCTGTCCCCCAAAACCACTGACAGAAGAAAGGAGAGGGTTTCAATACCACCAGGATTGAACAGTGGAGCTCAGTGCCTGGTGGTGCTCTGGTGAGGAAGCAGGGCAAATCACCAGGAGTAGGCAGCAGGGTCTGAGGGGTCTGAGGGAACCACGGGGAGAAGTGGTCCCCTTGCTTGGAGAGCATTTAGGACCCCAGAGAGCAGTCACATTTGCTGGTACCGAGACAGAGACACCAGAGTACAGCAAACCCTGGCTCTGGCTGTGTGTTCTGATCAGCCACAATCTCCAAACCTCTGCCACTGCACTATCACACAAATGTTTTCTGGGGCAAGCAGGCACACAGCCATTGCTCAGTGAGACCCTCCCCCAAAGAGTCAGCGTGGCTCCAGGCCAGTGAAGGGCAGGGGTGGTGGTGGTGTATGAAGTGTGGGGTTTTGAAACACAACCCCATCTGAGATAAAACTCTGGAAGGAGGTGGTGCCTGACAGGCAAATGGCTTGGACACAGGGTAGAGGCAGGGAGTGGATGGAGGCCTGAGACAAAGGAGGGGTGCTTGATAGCAGGTCGGTGAGATCTATATACTGCTTACAAGAGACATATTTTAGACCCAAAGACACATGCAGTTTGAAAATAAGGAGATGAAGAACCAGCTATCATGCTAATGGTCGTCAAAAGAAAGCTAGAGTAGCCATACTTCTATCAGACAAACTAGATTTTAAAATAAAGACTGTAACAAGAGATGAAGAAGGGCATTATGTCATAATTAAGGGGTCTATCCACCAAGAAGATCTAACAATTGTAAATATTTATGTCCCCAACGTGGAAGCACCCAAATATATGTCAATTAATCCCAAACCTAAAGAAACTCATTGATAACGATACCATAATAGTAGGGGACTTCCAACACCCTTCTTACAGCAAAGGACAGATCATCTGAGCAGAAAGTCAACAAGGAACAATGGCTTTGAATGACACACTGGACTGAATGGACTTACAGATATATTCAGAACATTTCATCCTAAAGCAGAATACATTCTTTTTGCGTGCACGTGGAACATTCTCCAGAATGGATCACATACTGGGACACAAATCAGCCCTCAACAAGTACAAAAAGACAGAGATCACACCTTGCATATTTTCAGACCACAATGCTATGAAACTCGAAATCAACCACAAGAAAAAATTTGGAAAGACTATGAATGCTTGGAGACTAAAGAACATCCTACTAAAGAATGAATGGGTTAAACAAGAAATTAAAGAGGAAATTAAAAAGTACATAGAAGCCAGGGTGCCTGGGTGGCTCAGTTGGTTAAGCGTCCAACTTTGGCTCAGGTCATGATCACAAGATCCATGAGTTCAAGCCCTGCATTGGGTTCTGTGCTGACAGCTCAGAGCCTGGAGCTTGCTTCGATTCTGTGTCTCAGTCTCTCTGCCCCTCCCCTGCTTGCTCGCTCGCTCTCTCTCTCTCTCTCTCTCTCTCCCCCCCATCTCTCTCAAAAATAAATAAAGGTTAAAAAATTTTTTTAATTAAAAATAAAAAGTACATGGAAGCCAATGAAAATGAAAACCTGACAGCCCCAAATCTCTGGGATGCAGCAAAGGAGATAAGAGGGATGTATATAGCAATCCAGGCCCTCCTAAAGAAGGAAGAAAAGGTCTCAAATACACAATCTACACTTAACACCTAAAGGAGCTGGAAAAAGAACAGCAGACAAAGCCAAAGTGAGCGCAAGAAGGGAAATAATAAAGATTAAAGCAGAAATCAATGATATTGAAAGAAAAAAAGAAGAAGAATTAAAGTAGAACAATGAAACCAGGAGCTGTTTCTCTAAAAGAATGAACAAAATTGATAAACCCGTAGCCAGATTTGATTAAAAAGGAAAAGGAAAGGACCCAAATAAATAAAATCATGAATGAAAGAATAGAAATCACAACCAACACCTCAGAAATACAAATAACAAGAGAATATTATGAGAAATTATATGCCAACAAACTGGGCAATCTGGAAGAAATGGATAAATTCCTAGAAACATATAAACTACCAAAACTGAAATAGGAAGAAATAGAAAATTGGAACAGACCCATAACCAGTAAAGAAACTGAATCAATAATCAAAAATCTCCCACAAACAAGAGTCCGGGGCCAGATGGTCTCCCAGGGGAATTCTACCAAACATTTAAAGGAGAGTTTATACCTATTCTCCTGAAGCTGTTCCAAAACACAGAAATGGAAGGAAAACTTCCAAACTCATTCTACGAAACCAGCATTACCTTGATCCAAAACCAAAGACTCCACTAAAAAGGAGAATTACAGACCAATTTCCCTATGAACATGGATGCAAAAATTCTCAAGAAGATACTAGCAAATCAAATCCAACAATACATTAAAAAATTCTTCACCATGATCAAGTGGGATTTATTTCTGGGCTGTAGGGATGGTTCAATATCTGCAAATCAATCAATGTAATACATCACATTAATAAAAGAAAGGATAAGAACCACATGATTCTCTCAGTAGATGCAGAGAAAGCATTTTGACAAAATATAGCATCCTTTCTTGATAAAAAAAATCTCAAGAACGTAGGGTTAGAAGGATCATACCTCAACATCATAAAGGCCATTTATGAAAGACCACAGCTAATATCATCCTCAATGGGGGAAAAGTGAAAGCTTCCCCCTAAGGTCAGGAACATGACAGGGATGTCCAATCTTACCACTGCTGTTCAACACAGTACTGGAAGTCCTAGCCTCAGCAATCAGACAACAAAAAGAAAAGGCACACACACTGGCAAGGAGGAAGTTAAACTTTCTCATCACAGATGACATGACACTCTATTGGAAAACCCAAAAGACTCCACCAAAAAAACTGCTTGAACTGATCCATGAATTCAGCAAAGTTGCAGGATATATTAATAATGCACAGGAATCAGTTGCATTCCCATACACCAATAATGAAGTAGCAGAAAGAGAAATCAAGGAACTGATACTGTTTACAACTGTACCAAAAACCATAAAATACCTAGGAATAAACCTAACCAAAGAGGTGAAAAAGCTATTCACTGAAAACTATAGAAATCTTATGAAAGAAATCAAAGACACAAAAAAATGGAAAACACATTCCATGCTCACAGACTGGAAGAACAAAAAATATTGTTAAAATATCAATACTACCCAAAGCAATCTGCATATTCAATATAATCCCTATCAAAATAACACCCTCATTCTTCACAGATCTAGAACAAACAATCCTAAAATTTGTATGGAATCAGAAAAGACCCCAAATAGCCAAAGCAATCCTGAAAAAGAAAACCAAAGCTGGAGGCATCACAATCCCAGACTTCAAATGTATTACAAAACTGTAGTCATCAAGACAGTATAACACTGGCACAAAAACAGACACACAGATCAATGAAACACAACAGAGAACCCAGAAATGGATCCACAAACGTATGGCCAACTAATCTTTGACAAAGCAGGAAAGAATATCCAATGGAATAAAGACAGTCTCTTCAGCAAGTGGTGCTGGGAAAACTGGACAGCGACATGCAGAAGAATGAACCGGACCACTTTCTTACACCATACACAAAAATAAACTCAAAAAGGATGAAAGACTTAAACGTAAGACAGGAAGTCATCAAAATCCTCGAGGAGAAAGCAGGCAAAAACCTCTTTGACTTCAGCCACAGCAACTTCTTACTCAACACATCTCCAGAGGCAAGGGAAACAAAAGCAAAAATGAACTACTGGGACCTCATTAAGATGAAAAGCCTCTGCACAGTAAAGGAAACAGTCAGCAAAACTAAAAGGCAACCAACTGAATGGGAGAAGATATTTGCAAATGACATATCAGATAAAGTGTCAGTATCTAAAATCTATAAAGAACTTATCAAACTCAACACCCAAAAAACAAATAATCCAGTGAAGAAACAGGCAAAAGACACAAATAGACATTTCTCCAAAGAAGACATCCAGATGGCCAACCGACACATGAAAAAAATGCTCAACATCACTCATCATCAGGGAAACACAAATCCAAATCACAGTGAGATACCAACTCACACCTGTCAGAATGGCTAAAATCAACAACTCAGGCAACAACAGATGTCGGTGAGGATGCGGAGAAAAAGGAACCCTTTGCTAGTGGGAATGCAAACTGGTGCAGCCACTCTGAAAAACAGTATGGAGATTCCTCAAAAAATTAAAAATAGAACTACCCTATGATCCAGCACTTGCACTACTAGGTGTTTATCCGAAGAACACAGGTGTGCTCTTTCGAAGGGGCACATGCACTCCAATGTTTATAGCAGCATTATCGACAATAACCAAGTATGGAAAGAGGCCAAATGTCCATCAACAGATGAATGGATAAAGAAGATGTAGCATATATATACAATGGAGTATTACTCGGTGATTAAAAAGAATGAAATCATGCCATTTGCAACAATGTGGATAGAACTAGAGTATATTATGCTAAGCGAAATAAGTCAGAGAAAGACAAATATCATGTGACTTCTGCATATGTGGAATTAAAGATACAAAACAGATGAACATAAGGGAAGGGAAGCAAAAATAATATAAAAACAGGGAGACAAATCATACAAAACTCTTTTAACTTTTTTTTTTTTTTCAACGTTTATTTATTTTTGGGACAGAGAGAGACAGAGCATGAATGGGGGAGGGTCAGAGAGAGAGGGAGACAGAATCGGAAACAGGTTCCAGGCTCTGAGCCATCAGCCCAGAGCCTGACGCGGGGCTCGAACTCACGGACCGCGAGATCGTGACCTGGCTGAAGTCGGACGCTTAACCGACTGCGCCACCCAGGCGCCCCCAAAACTCTTAAATATAAAGAACAAATAGAGGTTGCTGGAGGGGTTGTGGGGGGGGTGGACTAAATGCGCGATGGGCATTAAGAAAGGCACTTGTTGGGATGAGCACTGCGTGTTATATGTTAAGTGATGAATCACTAAATTCTATTTATGAAAACACTATTACACTCTATGTTAACTAACTTGGATTTAAATAAAAAATAAATATTTAATACATACTCACAACATATAAATTATTGTACATGACATATAAACTATACATTACCGGAAAAGCTGTAGAATGACTGTTCATCCACATTACCTGCTAATATTCTGTACTTTATGCCAAGTCAGTTTCGATTCCAATTTTCTGTGTGCAAGAGCAATTACGCGGAAGCCCTGTTTAGTGTAATCTTCCAGAACTTTTTCAAAATCAGTAGGAACTTTTAAAAAGGAAAAAATAAACGCCATTGTTAAAATTGCAACTACAAGCTTACACAAATAACAATTTCATTCAAAGCCTAGTTGATTCCTTACCTGTTTCAGGTTTACAAAGACTAGCAATGATCTCAGGTGCTCCCTTCATGTAGGCATCCATCTTCTTATCCCCTAGCACCCTTGCAACTACACTCATACGTTGCAAAGCAGAAGAAAACGGAAACTGACGAACAATTCCTATCTCATAAATAGCCTGTATGATTTCAACAGATGCACAAAGCATTTGTTATTTTTTTGGAATTGAAACACATATCCTGAAGTAACAAGTAAACATTCTTCACTTACTGGAAGTTCAAACAGCTCCTAAAAATAAAACAAAGAGAATAAAGAAATAGTACATATTAGACTCATCAACATACTCGTTATAAAAAAAAAAAACAAAAAAACTTTATACATACACAAAACATTATCTAAAAAATAGAAAAGAGCTTTGAGTATTTCAAAGTCAGGTTTCAAGATTGCTTCTCTACTATCTCCTTTTTTTTTTAACGTGTGCTTATTTTCTTTCTTTTTATTTTTTTATTTTTTTTTCAACGTTTATTTATTTTTGGGACAGAGAGAGACAGAGCATGAACGGAGGAGGGGCAGAGAGAGAGGGAGACACAGAATCGGAAACAGGCTCCAGGCTCTGAGCCATCAGCCCAGAGCCTGACACGGGGCTCGAACTCACGGACCGCGAGATCGTGACCTGGCTGAAGTCGGACGCTTAACCGACTGCGCCACCCAGGCGCCCCTGTGTGCTTATTTTCAAATACTTTGTTATCCTAAAATATTAACATATTAAGTACTAAAAATAAACTAAGGGGAAACATTTTAAAATTCACCTAAAAATAAAGCTATTCACATATTCTTTCTGCTAAATCATAGGAATTTAAAGGATTAATCACTGTTTAAATCACAAGGCCTAAGTTGTTCAATAAATAGTAAGGAAAAGTAATGGTAATTAGAATTACATCTCAATGTTTTACACACAGAGTGCCTGCGACACACACCAGATGTGTAGTTTTGGATAAATGCAGCTAAAATATTCGTATCTGCCTAAGAATTAAATAAAGGACATGTGATTTCATCTTCTAGCAAGAGTTCAAAATGAGGACTGAACATGAACGTTAACAGTTAAGTATTAACTTAAGTATTAAGGTAAGTATTATCCAACTTAACGTGATTTCGCACCATTTCTTGGTTTCCCGCATGTGTAGATTCAGGAAGCAGCTGTTTTGGAGGGCGAACCACAGTGGGCATAATTCGATTATGAAGTGCCGTTTCCTCTTCAGTTGCTTCTTCCAGAATCTGAAAGGAAAATATTCAACACATTACTTCATAAAATTCAATTCACTGGTTCTACTTTTAAAAGAAACATTACGGCTATCTTCAGTAATAACGACAACAAAGTCAGTACCCAAAGAATAAACGAGTACTACTAGACCACTAATATATTAGCATACTTATATTTATGTTAGTATAAGTAAACTTGTATGTATTTTAAACAAAGTTAAAGTCCTGGAAATCCATGGGAGATGGGAAGCAGAGATGAGAAGTGGAATAAAGAAACGAGAAAATCTTTCTCATTTTGCCTCTAAGACTAAGACTTGTCGTAGGATTTAGAGACTATTCCTGCAAAAAAATAGAAGATTCTTGCAGTTCCAAAAATGTTCAGTCTATCATCCAAGGGTTCTTTTCTGCTAACAGGAGAGGATTCAAAAGTATATGGAGCTCAGGGGTGCCTGGGTGGCTCAGTTGGTTGAGCATCCGACTTTGGCTCAGGTCATGATCTCACAGTTTGTGGGTTCGAGCCCCGCATCAGGCTCTGTGCTGACCACTTGCTCAGAGCCTGGAGCCTGCTTCAGATTCTGTGTCTCCTTCTCTCTCTGCCCCTCCCCTGCTCACGCTTTGTCTCACTCCGTTTCTCAAAAATAGATAAATGTAAAAAAAAAAAAAAAAAAATTTGTAAAGTATATGGAGCTCAGATACAATTAGGAGAACCACCGGATGAAGCACACATTGAGGTACAAAGACTTGAGTTTAGTGTTTCAGAGTGAACATTTCTGGTTAAGATACTACTAACCCTAAGTGCTTGAAATTTAATTTAAAAACACTTATTTTTGGTGAAATAATTCCAACAAAAACTTGTATGAAGTACACATACACAAGAAAAAATAAATTAATTAGACTTCAAAGTGAAGGAATCGATGGGAAAATGATGGGGAAGGACACTGTGCCCAATGAGCCAATTTTATACGATTCTAAGGTATGTTTTAACATCTCTGAAATTGGGATGTTCTTATATGGCATCGATCACATCAAATAACAGCAGTGACTGGTTATGTGGAAACATTCCACTGATAGTTTGTGGTAAGATCAAGCATCAAGACATCTCAGTGTCAACGAAACATGCTATTATACAAACTTACTTATTTAACCCATTTTTAAAGGATGCACAAACAGAACACTAAGTCTACTGAAAATCTGTTCATCTAGAGAAAAGTTTTAGAGAACATCAAAGATGAACCAGTCCTATTTTGCTTTACTCTCATAAATTATCCTCTAAAGGCCTTTTGGGAATTAGATTTGACAAATATTTATTGTGGGCTATCAGAAGATGGACAAACACTAATGCACACATCCATGTGCCTCTTTCAAAACATTAACAAAACAGGAGCACCTGGGTGGCACAATCAGCTGAGTGTACAGCTCTTGATTTTGGCTCAGGTCACAATCTCACAGCTCGTGGGATTGGGCTCCATGTCCCACTGAGAGCGTGGAGCCTGCCTGGGATATTCTCTCTCTCTCAAAATAAATAAACAAACATTAAAAAAAAAATCAACAAAATACAAAAAAAGAAAGAATCCTGTCAAAGTAAATAGGAAATTAAAAAAGAAGGATTTCAAATATGAAGATAAAAGGCAAACTGATTACTGTATTGACGAATGCAGCAGTGCAAGAAACAGTAGCCCAGAATAAACACAAGAGGACATACAAGGGAGGGACATTCTTCACCAGCCCGAATAGCTGAGCTAAGCAGAAATAAAAACAAAACACAAGACCAGGGGTGACTGTCTAGAGACATGAACGACCTACCTGAGAGGAGGGAAGGCTGCTACCATGAGGGTCAGCAGAGCGGGTGAGGAGGGCAACCTACAAGGCCAGCTCTGCAGTTCTGGGCTGAGGATGCCCCCTGATGAGGACTCACCCTCAGCACACAGCGAGCTCCCCCTGGGTTGGCCTTGCCATTCAGAAGAGACACAGCTCAAGTAAACAGACTTACACACATACGGGCAAGGGTAAAAACCTGACTGCAGCTACCCAGAATTATCGAAGCAAACCTTAATTCTTAAATATAAATGTACCATCAAGATATATCATGAAAACAAAAGCCATGAAGGAAAAAGATTAAGTGTTGGGAGGGAGAAAGAAAACTGACCCAGAGAAAATAATTCAGAAGCCAGAAGGAACTTTAAAAACAACCTTATTATTGCATCTGTAAAAGAACACAATACTGTGAAATGGTAACCAGGAAACACTGCATGCACTCAAAATGATCAATGCCAAAACAAACAAACTGTAAACAAACAAAACTGTGTGTGTGTGTGTGTGTGTGTGTGTGTGTGGACACAGAAAGTAGAACATGGGGACAAAAGAACAATGAAGACACAGGGCTATACTTTTCACCTATGGTCAACAGATTATTGTTGTTGAAGATCATCTTTCTGACTCGAGCCTATTACCTCCAATTGCTAACAGCTGCTTTCTCTTATAAACATAAAGCAGGCACCTGAGAAGATCATCTTCTATTAAGGGTGTCTGAGTGAGTTAATTTAATTAAAACGGACACTTTTTTACACAATTATAAATGTTTCTCCAATGTTACATAGTTCCTTTATGGTACAAGATGAACTGGTCATCAAAACAACTAGCAGAAACCATCTTTCTGCTGCAAGATTATTTTCCTTCAAGTTACTTGTGCTTTAAAATATTGAACTTACCCATCCAATGGCTTCAAACATTTTCAAATCAAGTGGATCACCAGAAAGCACTCCTTCAATCTTTGTGAGTGAGTGACAGGTAGCCATACAAGCAACAAACTGAGACTTTACCAATACCTCATTGCAAACATTTTCTTCTGGCAAAAGAAAACTAAATAGAAAATACACTGAATTAGATTCATAAATCTAAGACTATAAATATTCTAATCATACTCAGGTTTTATAATTTTAAAAAATGGAAATAAAAATGTTTGCATTTCTGTGCATATTAATTTTCACTACAGTTTTCAGCATTCAAAAACATTTTCTTCCATGTAAATTATACATTAACTAAAATACCATCTTATCTAAGATTCTGAATACCTATGCCAGACATAACAATATAGAAAATACTAGATACTAAATAATAATTAAAATTCCTGCCTATAGGCATAAGAATACATAAAATCTCTTTTGTAAAAACACAAAATGAATGTGTAACACATCATCATTTAAATTCAAAACCAAGCTCATAAGAATGAAAAGGAAATTTTCAAGTGTCAGAAATGGAAGGAAAGGAAAACCAGAGGAATGTGAGCCTGAGTGATGCTGACTGCCTGCGAGAGAAGAAGGGAGGGGAGTCATCCCAGTATGCTAAGGACCCAGGCTTTAATTCCCATATAGGAATGGAAGACAAAGTCCTGGCCAGATACAAAGTGGGGAGTTCAAACTGAGAGGATCCCTTTCACCCAAGATAGCCAGTGCTCTTGAAGAGCATCTTTGGAAAAACAATAAACTGAAAATAATTTACCTACATATCCAAACTAAGAATAAGCTGATCTCTTTTTCTCTCACCCAAAGCTCAAGAAAATCATTAATATCTGTAAAATATTTACTGTGCACTAGGCACTGTTCTAATAACTTTAAACATATCTGACTCATGTCCTCTTCACCACAGGAAGAGGTTTTATTATCCTCATTTCATAGAAGAGATACTGAAACAGAGGGTTAGGTAACCTGCCAAGGTTACACAGCACACAAGTGGCAGAGCAAAGATTCAAACGCAGGAGGTCTGGTTTTAGGGCATAAACTCTGAATCACAACACCAGTCAGGATAGGATCTGGGTTTGAATCCATGCTACTGCTGGTCCAGAGATCCTCAAGTTATGAAAGTAATATTAAAGCTCATCTGGCACGACTGATACCACTCTGGCCCAAGCACAGTCTAAAGTCTCCAGAGAGGAGCTCCCACAACACAGCCACAAAGAAATCTCACAGAAAATTCCTGCTAAGCATAAGTCCGTAATTTAAAAATGCACTGGGAAACATTCCCATGACTCAACAGACATAACAAAGACAGAATTAGAATCCCATAAATTTGAGATAATAGAATGGCGATCTGAAAGAATGCAAAAAGGGCACTTTTAAATTAAAGACTTAGAAAAAGAACAAGACACTATGGGGGGAGAGGAGGACAGGCTGACTTGGAAAAAAAACAAGTGCAATTTCCTATGTAACCTATGTCCGGGATTCCCAGATGGACAGAAAACAAAGAATGGGGGAAAGGTCATTATTTAAAAAAAAAAAAAAAAAAAAAAAAAAAAAAAAAAAAAAAAAAAAAGCTGAAAAATTTCCAGAATTTATGAAAAGCATAAATCTTCGGAATCAAGAAGCAAGGAAGTCCTACACAAATAAAAAGATCATGGTGAAACTGCAGAAATCAAGGATAAAGAAGGATTCTTAAAAAACAGAAAGAAAAAGGAGTCAGGAGGAAAGGAATAACACCTTCAAAGCGCTAAGAGAACACAAGTGACAGCCTGGAAATCTAGACAGCTACGCCATTCTTCAAAAGTCATAGTGAACTGAGTGTTGTATGGAAACCAATTTGACAATAAATTTCATATTAAAAATAAGTAAATAAAAATAAGTTAAAAAAAAAAAAGTCATAGTGAAACAAAAGAATCACTAACAAATGTAGCTACAGAAGATGGTGATTTATTCCAGAAGAATGGGATATGTAAGAAGCAATGGTTAGCAAAGATGTTCATAAACCGAGGCAAATCTTAGCATGCAGATGGCATAAAACTCAGATCCTAATCATAAAATACTATGCAACAAATACATATAAATAAGAGGGGAGGAGAATAATCAAAAAAATATCCTACAGTCCATGGCTTTCTTGGGGGGGGGGGTGTGTGGCTAGAAACCCAGTAAAGACACCTATGAACTTGAAACTCTATGACTTAATAATTTAAGGACAAGGAGTAAAAGATGAAAATGTATAAATTCTGAGAAAATGTACAAAATATGAGAGAGAAATTTGAGAAAATGTGTGAACTAGGGCAAGAAATGGTAGAAATAATTTCCAATTTACTTGGAATTATAAATGTGAACACAATGGCACAGAAAGATTAAAAAGTAAAGTGATGAAAAAGATACCCTCGGGTAACAGGTGGGGTGTAACTACAGAAATACAAGATGGAAGGGAATTTAAGGCAGGATGCATTAAATAAGGTCACAATGTGACAAACTATTTACCAAGAAGATGTAACAACTGTGAAATTATATGAACCAGACAATACTCTCTCAAACTCTATAAACTTCAATCCCACAGACTTCTGAGGGGGAAAAATGACATAAATACAACTACTAAGCCATCAAAAGGCAACAAGGAAGTAAAATGACAAGACAGACTGCTGGAATATTTTTGCAATGCATAGTACTGAAAAAGATTACCTCCCAATAAATACAAAGGACTTCAAATAAATGAGTAAGACTAAGAACACAACAGAAACATTGTCAATATATAAAGTGACAATACAAGAAGAATGCTAAATGACCATCCCTCCAAAAATGTGAAAATAAGCTCAGCTTTATAAGTAATGAGGAAACTGCAAAAAGCCACAATGAAAGACCATTTCATATCTGTCCATGGCAAAAACGAGAAGCCTGACAATACCAAGTCTGGCAAGAACTGGAGCAACAGGATCTCATACCCACTGAGGGAGGCAGTGGGAGCACCATCACTTAGAGATCAGTACCTGCTACACCTGTAGCCATGCATGTACTATCTAACCCAGCACCAACATTTTCAAGAAGCTGTTTACTGAATTTCAACTACATGGTCACAAGGAGTTGTGTGTAAGAATTATAATTGCAGCACCATTTGTGAAAGTGGAAGGGGAAAGGGAGAAAAACGATGAAACTGCCCCTTAGAACAGATATTATGATTTGATCATATCATGGAATACCAAACAATAGTTAAGATTAGTAAGTTAGACCCCATACATACCAACCTGGATAAATCTTGAAAACAATGTTAAGAGGCACCAAAAAAAAAAAAAAAAAAAAAAAAAAAAAAAAAAAAAAAACCAAAGCAGCAAAAACACATGTACATTGTATCAGTCATATACATTTGTTTACAAATAGGTCCTGTTTAGAGAGAGAGATATGTCTGTAGACTAAATATATAAACATGCAAAGACAGTTAACAGAACACAACTTCAGAATGATGGTAGGGCTATGGAAAGGGATAGATTTAAGATGTTAGCAATATCTGTAATATTTTAAATCTTTTAAAAGAGATCTGAAGCAAGTATGACAAGATATCAACTGTTTAATCATGGTGGTGGGTACACAGCTGTAATATTACTCAGTATATGTTTGAATATCTCATACATTAAAATATTAGGAAGTAACTAATAAATTATCAACTCTAGCTAATATTTACCGTGTATTTTCCACTCGTTGAATCCCCCACAGATCTAAACCATCTTCAGTAAGAGTTCCAGTCTTAAAAAAATTAATTAATTAATTAATTAATTAAAGTACATATATACAAAGTATAATGCCTCCAAAAAAAAAAAGAAAAACATGAAAAGCTATGCTACATATACATAATAAAAGTAGTATATAGTTATAAATAAAGAAAACTAGTAAGATCTCTGTATATTGATAAAAAATAACTTTCAGGAAAAACAGTTAAAGTGGGGAAAGGGTACAGAACATTCCTTGTGATATGGTTCTCAGGGGGCGGAGGACATATATGTAGAAGTATATGTTTATGGACTTGTATTATGAAAAAAACAGAACAATGCAACAATTAATCAAGGATCCCTACAAAGGAAGGAGACATTAGGACACAGGGAACCAAAAAAGGAAGAGGAACACGTTAAATGACACCAGGAGGAAGCAATCAGCCAAATCCAAGATGTACATGACCTGGTTTCTTCAATAGATGATTCAGGGTAAGGGGCAAGAAAAACAATTGTTACAGATTAATTGTAACCAATGCAATCATTATTTGGATTCTGACAGAAAAAGCAAACTGTAAAATTTTTTTAAAAAAAAATTTTTTTTTTTTCAACGTTTATTTATTTTTGGGACAGAGAGAGATGGAGCATGAACGGGGGACGGGCAGAGAGAGAGGGAGACACAGAATCGGAAACAGGCTCCAGGCTCCGAGCCATCAGCCCAGAGCCCGACGCGGGGCTCGAACTCCCGGACCGCGAGATCGTGACCTGGCTGAAGTCGGACGCTCAACCGACTGCGCCACCCAGGCGCCCCGCAAACTGTAAAATTTTGAGATACTTTTGAGAAAGGCAGGGAAAGCTGAATATGAACTGGATATTAGATAATACTAAAGAACTGTTAATTTGTTAAGTGGAATAAGATAATGGTACTGCAGTTAATTTTTTTTTTAACACCGTCTAGAGATAAAACTGAGGTATATTGGGTGAAAGAATGTCTGATGCTGCCATCTTCAAAGTGAGGGGACAGATGAAGTGAAGAATGACAAAATGCTGATTAACTGACAAAGCTGAGTGATGGGTAAATGAGGACTTTTTATACTTGTATCTTTCCTCTACTTTTGTTATCTGCTTAAAAATTTTAATTGTAAGGTTTCCAAAAAAGACAAGCATAAGTGAAATTTTCCAAACAGATAAATATAAAATGTAATCATGGGATAGGACCTTTTTTTTTTTTTTTTTAAGTAATTCCATGCCTAATGTGGGGCTCAATTCACGACCCCAAGATCAAGAGTTGCACACCCTGCCCAATGAGCCAGCCAGGTGCCCCAGGATATGACTTTTTTTAAAAACAAAAGTACGTCTCACATTTTTTCCTTTAATAGTGATCATGCACAAAAATCTTATTCCTATCCTATCAGTTACCAACAAGAGCTTGATGGAAGGTTTTTTGGTCAAGATTTAACTCCTAAAACTCTTAGGAAAACTAATTTCAGCAGAGGAAAGGAAAACTCTCTATAGGACAAAGCAAGGAATATTTCATATGTGTACAAAACTGGTCATTTTCACATAAAATTGTGAAATCAGTGACCTTAATAATTTTGAAAGATATTCAATAAAATCATAGAGCAAACTTTAACTAAACATATATACTTAATAGCAATAAAATTCCAGTAAATACATCTGTATGGAGCTTACTCTGTTAAAAACAAGAAAGATCAGATAATCTTTATTACTATTATAAGGCATAATTCTGGATATGAATGATAAGACAATTGCAGATTTGGGCAATCTCGAAGTATTAAAAATTGAAAAAGCAATGAGAATGTACAAAAATGATTCATGTGTCAAATAAGCTGAAAAAGAGGAATATTCGAAGAACATTATACAATGTGTACAAATTTGTTGATAGAGAATACAGAAAACCTTAATCTAAATATTTAAAAGCTACCAAAGTAACGTTTGAGAATGATTATAAAACTGAACCAACCTTGTCAAAGCAAACAAGATTCAGCTGTCCACAGATATTTATCCTTTGAGGACTGATACAGAAAATACCAATTTTTTTCAGTCTTCTTTGGGCATACACAATACCAGCTGTCATTGCAGCTGGAAGTGCAGGTGGCACAGTAATGGTAATGATATCCAGAGACTCGATAATTATGACCCCAATTTCTACCTACAATAAACACAAAAATAAATGTCAGACTCCCCAATATCAAATATTTACTAATCTAATGTGTGTATTTCTTTAGTGAAGAATCTATAAACCATTTTCAATTTTATATATAAGTGTGTATGTATGTATTTACATCCAAAAAGTATTTACAATTCTTTTCCCTTTTGAGTCTGCAAAATAGAAAGCTCAATGAATTGTCAATGGACTATGGAATGTAAGCTACTTTTTTTTATTAAATTTTTTTTAATTTTTTACATTTATTTATTTTTGAGAGACAGAGCACAAATGGGGGAGGGGAGAGAGAAGGAGACAGAATATCCAAAGCAGGATCTGGGCTCTGAGCTGTCAGCACAGAGCCCGACGCGGGGCTCGAACTCACAAACCACAAGATCATGACCTGAGCTGAAGTCAGATGCCTAACCGACCGAGCCACCCAGGTGCCCAGAACGTAAGCTACTTTTAAAGGAAATCTTCATTTTAAGAGCTCTACACGCTTCATACACCACACACTTCAACACTTCAAAATCCAACCAGTATCTATCAAATACTGACTTGCTACAAGCACTGTACTGTGACCATCTCCAAAAGGGATGAAAAAGAGAAGTTTGACAAGGGCTCACAAATAACTTGATTGCTATGTATCCCAAAAGTTACAAAAAAAGAAAATAAAGGTTTTGGTAAGTTTGTGGTCACCCTCCCTTTTTTAAGTCACAAGAGAGCAAGAAAAAGATCGCCTAAACCAGAGCTATCCCAAAGAACTTTCTATGATGAAAATGTTCTATATCTGTACTCTCTAAAGTAACAGCTACTAGTGTCATATAATTAAATTAAATTAAAAGTTCTTCATTTCATTTCAAATCCTTAGCAGCCATTAAGAATTGTGATCATTAAGAATCAAACCCTATTAAGAGTCCCATTTACATACCTTGTTTAAAATGCTATTGATAATAGTGTAGATAAACCCAATGCCAGCCACTGCCACAAGACACAGTAGAAACAAGTAGGCATCTCTGTAGAGTTTAAAATCAGTTGGTTTGGGATATAATATAGAACGAACAAGCTGTCCTTTGGAAGTACTAAATCCTTTAAAAAAAAATTTAAAGAAGAAAATGTATTTTTATGAGAAAATGAGAATTATTTCCCAAAATCTCTTTTTAAACATTCAGTAGGCATCAAATATGCTAAACCATGCAAGAAGAGATGAAATGTTTTCTACCTGTTCTAACTACTACAGCTTTGACAAGTTCTCCAGTGTAGAAACGAGTTTGAATTACAGTAGTCCCACAAAACAAAGTGTGTCGTTTATGTATTTCTGGACTATAGAATTCATCTCCCATTCCTTTTATGTCCACTGAAGGATTTGGCAAATTAGTCTTTGTTACTGGAACACTCTCTCCTTTAAAAAATAAATAAATAAATAAATAAATAAATAAATAAATAATAAATTAAAGCATAGAAATTACCATCAAACACACAAATCTTGAATTGTTAAATGTTATCATACTACTGTTTCAATAGTTATTAAGAGTTCTCATATGCGTGGCATGCCGGGCTGGCTCAGTCAGTAGAACATGCAACTCTTGATCTCGTGGTTGTGAGTTCAAGCCCCATGTAGGGGTGTAAGAATTACTTAAAAAAAACAAAATTAAAAAAAAGTTACCTTATGTGGATAACAAAGCTTATTCAATTAGCTTTCTATCTACCAATTTCCTTGTTGAAAAATATCAAGTCCTGTCTCCCACAATAATTCCTCAAAGTCAGTTGTGAGTCATAATAATTTGGAAACGATTTTGTAACGTTTCAGATAAGAAGACCAGGTAGCTGCCACAGCCCAGCATCTGCTCTCTTATCCTTAAAAAATGAATTGGAAAGCACTCTGCAACCTAAAGCACAAAGATGTGAAGACCTACTTCTAACCTCCACCCCCCCCCCCCCCCCCCCCCCCCCCCCCCCCGCCACCGCCCAAACACACACGGAAGAAAAAAGACCTCTGGGGAAGGGAGAAAAGAAGTAAGTAGTATGGTAGTTCTCTCAAACAACAACAAACTGCCAAATTCTTTTTCACATTAAAACTTAATTCTCTGTACCACTCACATTTCTTGTTTCAAAGGTGTCAAGTATGTAGGGATATTTGTGCAACTGTGTTTTAAGATAAAACTCTTAACAGTTTGAAAACATATAGGAATCACTTTTTTCCAGGAAAAAAAAAAAAGGTAAAGTGATAAAAAGATATAAAGTTCTACCTTCAGATTATGAATTTCCAAAGTGAAGTCATTTCAAGGTCTACTTCCCCTCCCTGACCCCGCCCCCACCAGCTTAAGGAAAATATAAAATCTTCATTCCCACTTATTACACATCAAATAGGGAAGTAAATATGCTGCCATTCTCTGTAGGCAAAGGACTTATTTCCTCTTCCCTTCCTGTAAAATATTTCCCCATGTCAAAAGTATGCCAAAAGATGTAGTGAATACCAGCATAATAATTTAGTCTCACAACTGAGTGTAATGAAGAATTCAGTCTCCTCCAAATAAAAAAAAAAAAAATCTTCATTATCCATCACATTCATGACATGAGTAAAGAAAACAAACAATATTTTACAGTTACAGATACAATAAGACAGTTAAACAGCTTAATCGGTAACTACTTAATCCTAATATCATTATAAACTGATCTGATTTTTACTCATTTAGTTTACCTGTTAACATGCTTTCATTTACAATGCAGGTACCATTAATTAGAACTGCATCACAAGGCATCACTGTCCCATTCAATGGAATGACCATAACATCTCCTGGCACAAGGTCTGTAGAAAAGATCTCTTCTATTTCTGGATTTAAAGAAAGAAGAAGAAAGAAAAGTCTGAATAGAATATTCTTTAACTTGAGGGGTACCTGGGTGGCTCAGTCAGTAAAGCATCTGACTTCAGCTCAGGTCATGATCTCAGTTTGTGAGATCAACCCTCACACATGGAGCTCTGTACTGACAGTGTGGAGCCTGCTTGGATCCTCTGTGCCCCTCTCTCTCTGCCCCTCCACCGCTCGTGTGCGCGCGAGCTCTCTCTCCTCAAAAATAAACATTCAAAAAAATGCAAAAAACAAAAAGGAATATCATTGAACTTGAAATTCAAATACAGTAAATAAAAGATCTGTCTGAAGGTCACCTGACCTCAATAAGTTAAAAATATAATGGAGTTAAATAGGCCAATCTCAATAAAAGAAAATAAGACAAATAAGATTATTATTCCTTAGGCTAACAAAGCATGGTGTTTAAGTGTGTCAGGTAGTTTGACCCCTGATAGGATGCCAGCTGCACACATGTGATGCCAAGTCCCCTCTGACTAAACAGGTGGCTAGACTTCAACACTCATAACAACAGCCCTCTTAAAGAACAGATAGTGAGTCAACACATGATATCCCCTGCAACAGGTAAATAAGCTCAAATTTCTATTAATTATCCTTTGGAAATAGTAGAAAGCATTGAAATTTTTAAATGTATTTTCTTTTATTTTTATTATTTTTTTAATATTTATTTTTGAGACACAGACAAAGCATAAGCAAAGGAGGGGCAGAGAGGGAGAGGGAGACACAGAATCTGAAGCAGGCTCCAGGCTCTGAGCTGTCAGCACAGAGCCCAATGCGGGGCTCGAACTCACAAACCTCAAGATCATGATCTGAGCTGAAGTCAATGTTTAACCGACTGAGCCACCCAGGCAATCCAAGTATATTTTCTATTTTAACAGCATTTTTTACACTATTCTTCTTCTCACTGCCACTATTTATTACTCAACATTTCAATGCCTTCTCAATATTCCTGAAGTAGTCCTAACATTTTAGACAGATTTTAAACAAATTTACAAAATAAACATTGTAATACGTTATCTAGTTCATTATTTCCTTAGAAATCTGTACACTATTCAAGTTAGCTAAACGCTTTTTTACAAGATCTTCCCAAGTAAAAGGAGGTTTTTCTAGAAGACTGCCTTACATTTAGACTCCCTTTCATTCTTTCCCTCCCTCTGGTTTAACACTAGGCTCAGGAGAGAGTTATGCTAGTTTGTAAACAAAGACAGGTGAAGAGAAACTACTGTTTGTGATGTTGGTCTGTAGGAAGAAAACTCTTTTCCTTTCTAAAGAAAAATGGAGAGTACTTTACTAAGCCATGAGGAAACAACTGTGTAATAATACTAAGCACATACTAGGCATAATAAACCTGACTCTTTCAAAGCTTTTATGCCACTTGAAATTCTACTCCTCTCAGGTATACCAGAAAACAAACTAGCAATGATCTCTTAAGAGTTTACAAAGGGGATAAGGAAGATCCAAGTTGAATGCAATGTCCTAACATCCCAGTGTCTTCAGCAGCAGCAGAGCAGAAAGAGGATGAACACCAATAGAGAAGACAGATACTCCCGACTAAAGCAACAAGTGACCAGGAAGCACAGGGAAGAAAGCACCTGCCAGGCCAAACCGTGTTTATGCTTGGATGTAGTTAGTATACTGAGCCAAGAGAATGGAAACTGATTTGATACTCTCAATCAATCAGAATGAATATTGCCTCCAAGGCCTGTGCTGCTAGGCTGCCACCTCTCCTTTATCTCCTTTACACCTCTTCACATCAGACAAACTAACATGTCCAAACCATTATCCTTCCTTACAATCCTGCTTCTCCTCCAGTGTTCCTTATTTAAGTGGCACCGATGTCCACCCCCTCAAGCTTGACACCACTCTATCGCCTTGTATCCAATGAATCATCAGATCTGTTTCAATGCCCACATTTAAGTATCTTTCAGTCCCATCTCATTTCTATCCATCTCCACAACCCTCACCTTAATCCATTTCATGTCTTCGAGATCACTCCCTTCTGAACCCGTCTGAACACAGCAGCCAAAATGATTTTTTCAAAAATGCAAACATCAGATCACCCCCCTGCTTTTAAGCCCTTCGATGGCTTTCCATTGCCTTTTGGAATGAGGCCAAATTCCTTAACATGCCTTAGATCCATCATCTAGTTGCCATCATCTAGTTGCTGCACTGGTCACACTGAATTTCTTCAGTTATTACAATGACCAAGCTCCCTCTCATTTCCAGAACGTTGGGCACTTAGAACCCTCTTCTCTCCCTCTCTCACTCCCATCATACCACCTTCTCACCTACGTCTTATCTAATTCAACCACTTAAAAATGCTTTTCCCAAGAAGCCGTCCCTGACACCTACAGTAAATGAGCTCTAATATCTAAATTCCCTGACCTCTCCTTATCATAGCATTTATCACACTTTATTGTTACTATTTATCATCTGCCTTTCCAACTAGACTGAAGTTAAATGATGGCAAGGACTATATCCATCTTGGTAACCCCTGCATCTCCGGGGCCTATCACAGTACCTGTTACATTAATAGAGAAAGAAAAATACAATTTTACGTGAATGAATTTGATACAAACTCAGAGATGAGTACAAATCCAAACACTTCTTTTTATTTATAATACATTGTCTCGCTCAGTCATTAGTGCTTAATGGGTATCTTTTATTGATTTATGTGTCCAAGTGTTACCTAAAGTACTTACCTCCATTCGCTCTGCAAACTGAAACTCTCACAGTACTGTGAGCTGCCACCATGTCATGCAACATAACATATTGCTAAAATAGAGGGTAAGACGTGAAAATTAGCTAATATAAACCCACTCTTCAAGGTATTTAAAAGCAAAGGTGTTATAAAATAAGTTAATATGGTAAATGTATGTTACTCTGCCATTAAAAATGTCAAGACTAAAAGGTTCAAAGATTATTAAGTTAGCTGTAGACAAAATAAGAAGTATTTTAATGAGACAGTCCTGAGTATCGACCCTCTAGTATTTCAGTCTGTGATAAGCACATATAGATCCCTATGGCCTCTAAACAGTCAGGTGGTAGTCTAACTCTAAAAAGCATCTGCCTTCCTCTACCACAAAAAGAGAGGGAAAGGAGTACATATAACTAAAAGAATAACTATATCGAGTTTTACTTTGTACCAAGTACTACTCTACACGTTACATGTTACTACAAAATACAAACACAGTTGTAAAAGCCATAATAAACTGGACTTACCTTTCTAATGGTATATAGAGAGCTTACAATTGACACTATAGACATAATCACAATGGCTAGAGCATAATAATAGTATTCATCAGTGCTCCACAGTATAACACTGAACAGCTGGAAAATGTAAAATGGGTTGAGAACCTAAAAAATAAGATTTTTAAGTCAAATTGGATGAGGTATTTATAACCATACAGATGTTCCACCTTTGCATTTAAGAAATAACCAACAAGGGACGCCTGGATGGCTCAGTTGATTAAGTGTCTGACTTCAGCTCAGGTCATGACCTCACAGTTCCATAGCCTCACAGCTCAGGAGTTTGAGCCCCACATCAGGCTCACTGCTCTTAGCACAAAGCCCACTTTGGATCCTTAGTCTCCCTTTCTCTCTCTCTGCCCCCCCCCCCCACTAGCACTCTGTCTCAAAAATAAAGAAACATTAAAAAAAAAAAAAGAAAGAACCAACAAGATACTTAGAGGATAAGCTCTGTAATACCCCAGGGCAACATATACAACCCAAAGAGTTAGCATAGTACTTTTTTACCATTAAACTACTGGAGTTTGCCTCAATAAGCTTAATTTAAGTTATTTGCATCCATCTAGACCCATACCAAACCCAAATATAGATTCAGCCAGAAACAGACAAAAATGTGTCTTTAGCTATTCTTCATTCTGCTTCAACAATAAAGTACATTTACTTCCAATAATTACTAGGCAACTAAAGGATATAAAATTTTTAATTAAAAGGAACAAGTGTTTCTTATTATGAACTCCAAATACCAATTTTCTTGTAAGTCAAAGGTTCACTGGAGACTAAAGGGAAGACAAATAGGAAACAGTAACTTATACTATTTTGTATTCTCTAAGGAAATAATTAAGGATTAAAACCTGAATGAAAAGGGGTGCCTGGGTAGCTCAGTCAGTTAAGCGTCCGACTCGGATTCAGCTCAGGTCATAATCTCACTGTTTTCATGAATTCAAGACCTGCATCGGGCTCTGCACTGACGGTGCAGAGCCTGCTTGGGATTCTCCCTCTCTCTCTGTCTCTCTGTCTCTGTCTCTCTCTCTCCCTCTCTCTGCCCTTTTCCTGCTCACACTGTCTCTGTCTCTCTCAAAGTAGATAAATAAACGTTAAATAAGTAAGTAAATAAATAAATAAAACCTGAATGAAAAAAAGAGATAAAGTAGTCCTGGCAATAGCCTTCATTTAGTCAAATATCATAGTATTTTATCAATTTCATTAATAACTTCCCCCAAATGTCTTAAAATTGATGCTTGTGAACTTTTCAAAGCACTTTCACATATATAGTCCCATTTTACTTCAAAATTACATGAGATAATTTGAAAGGACTTACTCCAATTTTATAGATAAAGGAGAAGAAAGATTGTCTAATGAGCAAAGCTAGTTACTGACAAAACCATATTATAAACCAGGCTTTCTAACTCCTCCAATCACTACACTCTATGTTTTTTTTTTTTTTAATTTTTTAACATTTATTTATTTTTGAGACAGAGAGACATAGCACGAGTCAGGGAGGGGCAGAGAGAGAGGGAGACACAGAATCCAAAGCAGGCTCCAGGCTCCAGGCTGCCAGCACAGAGCCTGATGTGGTGCTTAAACCCACAGACTGTGAGATCATGACCCGAGCCGAAGTCGGAAGCTCAACCAACTGAGCCACCCAGGGGCCCCATTCTGCTATGTTCTAAAGCAAAATACAGTCGCTCTCAGGAACTGAGGGAAAACAATCTGTATATCTATTAAAAGTATTCACCCAACCCTGATCTTTAGCCAAAAATCAAAATAAGACTAAAGAGCCTAACTCTGCCAGGCAAAATCCCATGCTCCCTTCCTTTACATGTATAACCTTTATAAAATCACCTCTCTTCAATGGCACTTACAACTGGGCAGTCACTACAATAACTACTGACACACTTCCCTCCTGGGATAAAGTACAAGCTCCTAATGGTCAATCAACAGGTCACGTTTTGTATTCCAAAGTTAGTGTACAATGCCTAGTTCCCAAAAATGCACCACAAAATAATCATGTGAAGAATAAACATGATAAATCATCTAAAAATTGGAGAAAAGAGAAAAGACAGGTGTATATAACTATAAAGCAGGTCAAGATTTAGATGAGCAACTCACTGAGACTGAAAAAAATTTACAGACAAAAAAAGCAAAGCAAGTAATAAAACGGTAATTCATGCCCCCAAATTATTTCTCTAGCAAAGTTACTACCTTTACCTCCCAAGTTAAAAGAAAGAGAGCTAGTGAGAGAGAAATTAAGAAACAGAAAACCAAGAATATCTTATTACTTAAATCATGGCTCTTTTCAAATTGACAACTCTACTGATCACAAATGTTATCTTACCTCCTTAATTAGAAGCTTAAAAACAGAAGGCACTTTCACAGTAATTTCATTTACTCCATAAAGCAATTTTCTACAACAGGAAAACATAATAATAGTGTCACATTATACAATAATAGTATAATTTAGGGATAGCATTTCATTAGATAAAGCTCAAACCACAGATTGCTCTTAAATCTGGAACTTCAACATTCATGTTTCCACATACTTGTCTTCCACAATTCAATTCTCTACCTACAGTATTTAAATCGAAGTAGTCACTACTGGATAACTACACTGTTGTTTCATTCTGTCTCAGATCTTTTTGTGTGACAAGTATCTTTCCCACTAGTTTATAATAACCATGTCGGCAAATGTTTTTTCATCCTTGAACACAATACACCTCAACAATTTTGAATTGCAATTCATTTTTGCAAGAAACTAAATAAACAAATTTGAGGGGTCCTATACTATTTTTCTAATGAGAATACTGTACTAACAGTGTTTATTTCAAAACACTGTACATCTGACTTTTTAAAAAATGCTTTTAAAAAGTTGCTTAAATCCTTCCACTTAAACTCCTATTAGTCCTTTCTACGTGATAGAGTAATTCTTGCCTTTAACGAAGTATGGGTCTAAATGAATCAATTTTTCAATATTCTACTGAAAAAAACATGCTACAGAAGTATAAGAAAACTGCTAATTTAATTTGAAAATAGCATTTATCTTTAAATTTGCAATACACTGGTATAATCTTATACTTCAACAAAGAATAACATGATAAAAAAGGTTATGCATCCCAATTTACAAATATTCATTGTGGTAAATTTTGAGCTCATGCTTACAATTCCCAATACATTTCAGAAAATCTAAGCTGCTATCAATTGTAAGACATACCCATCATTTTATGTGCTATCAAGATAAAAATGTTGACAACATTTGTCAAGTAAAGGATGACACTCCACCCACTGCATGACAAATCCCCCACTTTAGAAATGTTAAAATGTTGAAAATATGTATCTTAGAATGGGTAAAATATGGTATATTTTCAGGGATACCAACTTCAAAATTCCAGTTTCAACATTTTCATAATTCTTAAACTGAGAGACAGTCTTACTCAATTAAATACCAGTAAGTTGTCAACTACTAGGTCTATAATGTTTAAATACCTATTAATATGTACAACTATATGGTAAGAGGGTGGACTATACATACTACTTTATTTAGGAATTTTGATAACAGATCTAACTTTAGTTGGATAAAAATTACCTGTAGGCATGCATCCCCTTTGTCAGTCCTGCACTATGCTTTTCATAAATTGACGTACAAGAAACACCTTCATCCAGTCCCCTAAATAAATCCAAAGTTTTTACTTTAAACAAAGTTTAAAATATCCAAATGTCTTAATGCCCTATTCTTCTATATTCCTGATTTTAAAGTGACTTCCTTACAAATAGAAACCTAACAAAAACTGAAATAATGAATGAGAATTTTAAATCTCAAATTCATAAGATAACCAATAATGAAAGTTCTAAGTCTCAAAAGTGCCAAATTCTAAATTAGCCAATGTATCTATCACATGATAAAATGGCTCTAAATACTCAAGTTTGTATGACAATATTATTATCCTTTAAGGCTGTACCAAAGCTGTAAGAGCTATTAATTAAACTAATAAAATTATAGGCAAAGTATGACTAACTTGAGAATCCCAAACTAATTTTTTTTTTACTTTTTAATAATTAAATTCTAATTATTAAATTATTAAATTATATAGATATAATTTTCCCTCTTCAATTTTTTAAGCTTCATGCTAACAATCCTATTCACTGATTTTTTTTTCTACAAAAGCATCAATCCAAATCTCCCTGTTCTAATACAAACCTGGGAGAGAAGTACAGAATTTATGAGTCACAGTCAATGTCCAAAATCTGTAACAATTCTAACTGGATTCAACCAACAGACCTAATTTTCCCCCCAAATGTCTTAATTATGCTTATGTTGACTGAGATACTAGTCAAAGAACTCCAAAGAGAACTCTACACATCATTTATCTCCAATCCTTTTCCATTTTTTTCAGATAGAAAAAAATTAAGCTCCCTAATTAACTGCTATCATTGGGATGCTTAAATTCTAGAAGCTTCTACAGCTGGCAAATGCCACCAGGCAAATAGGTTTGACACTTTTTTCCACTGAAGTTGATGACTTCTCCAAAAGCAGCAGGGATCAGCTCCAAGTCTTTTTAAAAAAAAAAAACAAAACAAAATGGCAGCTCACTGGCAGTGTTCTATAAAGCAATAGTTCTTAACTAGAAATGGTCTTCTGAACTAGGCATGCGGAAATGCCCAAGTCTATTCCAGATTATTCCAATTCTTTAGTGTCTGAGGAAAAAAATCCAGGCATGAATATTTTAAATGTTCATAAGGCGATTCTCTTTGTATTGCTAATATTAAGAATTCCTTTAGCACTCTCAAGTAATGATACTTAATGAGTGTTTATAATAATCACTTTAACAATAGCAATAAAAATAGAATCCTAATTAATTCAGTACTTAACATAACTTCAAGCCTCCACAAAAAATAAATTTTAAGGGATTCCTCCAATTTGTCCTATTCAAGGCTTAACACATTGGACAATGTCTCCATCTTTACCCACACAGTAAAGTTAAATTTCTGTTTGGGATATGACAATTCAGATATTCTGACGGACTATAAAGTGTACTCTAAAATTCACTTTGAGATGAACCCACAAAAAGAAAAGAACTCAGACTCAGAGTGGATTTGGAGAATCATATTGTTTCAAACTTTTATGTAAATTTTGCCAAGGTACAAGTTGCAAGTAGGATTTATCCTAAAATGGTTAACAAGTATTCAAATAACACCAGGGAGTTAATAAGTGAATAAAAGTTATGCAATAAATACCTCTTCAATTTTTGTAACCCTACAATGAATTCTTTTCCATCTAGAACATTTTCAAGATACTCGTAAAAGAATCCAAACAAAAGAAAAATACTTACTTTAAGAAATCAAAATTGTGAAGGGTATCATTCCAGAAGTATTTTACACTGTGGTGGGTAAAATAACGAACCTGTAGAACACACATAAATGTTACACCAAAAAGCACTATCATCACTTGTTAACCATTAAGTTTACTAAATCTGTTATGTATTAAAATTAAAGTGATCACATGCAAATGCAATCTGCTTCTAGTATTACCTAAACTGTGTTATATATAGTAATAAGTATTTTATGTGCATATATATTCATCCCAAACAAAAATAACTGCAAACACAAAATTATAGGCTGCGATCGAATAAAATGTAGTAATTCTGGTTTTTAAAGAACCTATAACACTAAGATCACCATACCTGCTGTGGTTGAGTTTGTGAATATTTGCTCATCTCATGCCTATTCTCTGTAGCCAAATTTTCAGTAAAATGAACAGCATGGCCATTTGCAACTTTATTAGTCATAGATTTTGGACTCAAAAATGGGTGAGTTTCCAGAGAAAGAAAGCGGATTTTTGCACAAAACCACATTCTGAATTCATCCTTATAAGACAGAAAGGGATAAAGATAAAAAGTCAATTCCATGTATTACATAACACCTATACCTATAATGCCTATACAGTTTTTTTTTTTTTTTAACGTTTATTTATTTTTGAGACAGAGAGAGACAGAGCATGAACAGGGGAGGGGCAGAGAGAGAGGGAGACACAGAATTGGAAACAGGCTCCAGGCTCTGAGCTGTCAGCACAAAGCCCGACGCGGGGCTCGAACTCACGGACCGTGAGATCATGACCTGAGCTGAAGTCGGACGCTTAACCGACCAAGCCACCCAGGCGCCCCATAGTTTTCAATATATTTTTAAATTCCCATTCTTTACGTATTATTTACTCTTCTCTAATTAAGAAAGCATCACTTCCTACTAAATATTAAACCAGCTCATGAAGATGTATAAACTCCAACATGAAGTGCTTTCCATTGCTCACCATTTTACGATATATTTCACTAATACAATATCCCCTGAAAGATCTTGAGTGATTTTTTAATGAACTCATCAACATACTGAGACTAGAAATTAAAGCCTCTGATGAAATGTTTCCAATCAAACAAAACAAAAACAAAAACAAACAAACAAAACCCTAGATGCAGCAACATCACATAGTAGAAAGGCAGCTGGCCTAGTGAATAACAGATCTGACATAGCCCTTAAACTGGCCGATGACCCTGACAGATAAGCATCTAATCTTAATCTCTCAGTGCATCAAGAACTACAAAAGAAAGGAGTACAAAAGGAAGAGGTTGGCATAATCATCTTTAAGATTCCTTCACATTCTAATCACTGTGGTAAAACTCATTTCTAACACAAATGCTTTTAGGATTAGTATTCCTGATTATATCCTAGCAGTGATGTTCTCCTCATACATTGTTTTGAAGGAAGTACACACAAAAGCGTTTATTTCACTCCTGAAATGATCAGCTACAAGTGAATACGTTGACTTACAGTAGTCCTCAGCAGCACCACTTCACAGTCTTTAATGGCAGCTCTAATACAGGTCACCTTCACCCGCCATTCAGGCATCCAGTAGAGGAGGAGGAGGAGAAAGCCACCAGTGCAAACCACTCCTAGGGAAACTATGGCAAGCTTCCAGCGACACAAATTATAGCCATATATCTCCTGCAAGGATACAGTGATCACACAATTAAATATCACATGGTGTATGAGAAAAATGCCAAAGTTCTGTTTTCCAAATGTATATTCACTATTTTGTCACATAAAAGTTAGGGTTTTTTTTTTTTTTTT